CTACCCTAAAAAAAATATTAATTAAAACAATTATTAATTAATAAAGTTTTAAAATATAATAAAAATATTAACAATATTAAATTGTCGTGTCAAACACTATTTAAGATACAAGAATTTAATTATTATCATTGATCGTCAAGTTTGACCCCAGGGCTCCACAAGGTATTTAAGACGTCAGTTTCGTTATCCACGTACTTTAGTCACAGGAGCGATTGGATTTTTTTTTCTGCTCCCTTCTGTAAAATACTTAGTTATACACCGATCTAGCATGCGGAAAGCATCACTTTACCACGTGGGTTTCTTGTCTTACGGATCCGAGACCCTTCAGACATTTCCGGGATTCTACTGCATGGCCTTGATGTTTGTCAATTTTGACGCTCATGTCAGTCAATGTATTGGTGTTGTTTTGCAAAAACGTACCCAAAAGCAGCCGGTCGTAGAAAAAATATAGTATGCAACACGTTTGGTAAACTTTTTGAGTCACTCGTTTGTTAAACACACGCCTCACTCGTGACTCAACTGCCGTTTTCCATACTTGTTGCATAATATATTATTTCCGGCACTCGGCTAGCTCTGGCTGCGCCAAATCAAATTGGTGCTTAAAATGACGTTTATCAAATTATTTAGGTAATATAATATTTTCTCTACTCTTATCATAAGAAAAGAAAATTTAAAAATATTAATTATTTATGAATCGAGTTTATGAAATGCCTTGACTTTTTAATCAAGGCATACAAGAACCGTATACACACGAACCCGCACGTACACCAAAAAGGGCGCCGGTGGATGCGACCCAATTTATATCGAAAATGTCTTGGAAGCTTTTGCACCAGACTAGTCCACCATGAACTTATCATAATCTTGAAATACTGAATCGCTTTCGTATAACCAAGCGGATAGAAATGGTGTAGTGTTGTAGTGTTTAAAGGCAAATTTTAAATTTCAAATTTGGACTATTAGACTGTTACGGGAAAACTTTTTTAGGGAGAAAATTCCCAGGCATTTAAAAAATTAGAGACTAGCTTTCATATTTGATTTGATTTGATTTTATTTGATTTGATATGATTATTTCGAAAAATTTCAAACGATATATATTAGTCACCCAAATTCTTTCCTAATTGGGGTGTTTCTAGTACCCCATTTCATCATTTTTCCATGATAAATGCAGTATCAATGTTTATTCAAAAAATGAGTTTTATCTTGGCCAAAAATTGCAAGTATCTATTTTTTTTTGGTTAACTTCGAAATCTTAAACATTTCCTTTGGGTACCTTTGTTTCTGGTTATTATTGTACGGCAAATCTCTATAATTAGTGTTGTCTTAGGTACAATAGGTACGAAATGTTCATGAGTTAGTTAGAATCATGCTTGTTTATTTCTTTGTTACTCTGATATGAAGGGTCTGCTTTATGTGGTAGGGTAGGTAATTCCAATTCCAATTCCTTCCAATTTCTCGAATGCATACACAATATGTTATCTAAGAATATTAAATCTCAATGCAAATTGGGGAAAAACATTTCCGCGTGCCGCTTGCCCATTCCGCTATTTCTCAAGAACAAGGATGAAAATAAGATGTAGTTGCGTAATCATGAAAGCGCTGTTGCGTCCGAAATATTCTCGTTGACGTAATTTTTCGTATACCCGAGACAGATATGACGATGCTAAAAGTGAAATTAGTAAAAGCGTTCCCCTTTGCGGACGTGATGACCTCCTTCGGAGTCACTTTTTATCTCGCATGGAGTTTTGCTACGTCCTTGAACGTGAGCGTGCAAGTTTTCGGCTTCGATGGCAAAAAAGATGCTATGTGAATCCAAAAAGTGGCACACTTTCGGCAGCAATGACATCAGCATTTTTTACAAAACTCTCGCATTTCTCGGTTATTAGTTCGTGATAATTGGACAAATGAACGATTACTCATTTACAGTCGCGCATCAAAATATCCGTGTTGCAAAGCGGCCTCGGGCTTTTATGGCATAAATATGGCTTAATCAAATGAAATGAGTAAAATGACTGAGCAGTAAACACGAGATTAATGAACCTGAGGAATTACGATTTTCGTTGCTCAATCCATCGTAAATCTGGCAGAATTATTTTGACGTCAAACAAAAATTACCACGCAATAATAGCCACCAGCATAAAAATATTTTGTTGCCCTGCCTCAACCTAGATACATTAGTAATTTAATCTTTGATTAATTAATTAAATCCGGTTACTATTTTAAATATATTATATTTTTTCAGTACTTATTGCGCATGTGAAAGTTAAGGAACGACGAGAATACCATAAAAATATTTGATTCGGAAATAAAATGGATTACGTAACCATTTTCACATTTCATTTTTTATAATTTGACTAGATAAATCGAAAACGTTTGAAAAAGTAAACACTAAATAAAGCGCAAATCAAGGAGCAAATAGTCAATTGAACGAGAGTATACCACGTGTCCCAGATAAGAATACGCAGCGTCGGATTTTCGAAAACGGGCCACCGGGTCTATTGAATTATAAAAACAGTGTGTTATACAATAAACTCGACATTTGCAAAGCCGTTTTTTCTGCCGAATATACTTTTTTGGATTTTCTGTTTTTTTCTTCTTCTTTTGCAATTGCAGTTGTATTAAAAATATTATCATACAGGTTTAAAGAGGAGCATTTGGAAATTACTTTTAAAACCAAAACGATTCAACAGCACATAAAACTTTTAGAACAAGATGGGGTCTTTCTGTTTATAGTCGCAATCAAATAAAGAGGTTAATTTTAGTTAGTTACTTAGTGACAAGCCTTGAACAAAATATCAGATTTTTTAATTCAAATGCTCAGATGCCCATCTTTTTCCATTCGGCATAGAATGTCCGGATAACTCAAGATTTAATAGGCGGTATATTTTGAAATATAAGAACAATGTTCCTCTAGTTGTAGTTCAACCGACCTGATTGGTCACGTCATTACATATTTCAAAGGCCCAACTCACATTCTCTCCAAGATCAACTAATTTTATCAAATAATCTGTTTTGAATGATAAGTTTAGTTGATTAGTTAACTATCAAACTTCATTTTTTACAAGCTTCTCAAATATATACTGGTAGATATTCGAAAACCAAAATTGCCTTAAAATTCAAATTTTGAACTTCAAATGTATCAGGGAGGGTTGTAGGGGAGTTTACCAAAGAAAATAAAATGTTATTTATATGATTTTCCAGCTTTAAATTTAAAAACCTCTCGAAAGCTTTAGCAATAAAAGAACGTGATTGTTATATGGGTGAAGAAATTTTTTTATATAGTTTTCGGTTTTCATACCATCCAATCCAAACTCAGACATATGTTCAACAAGCAATACATCATACAACCAAATCTAGCTCTCGAACTTCTAGACAACTTACAGATTCACCATCGATCTGTAGAAAAACTATTGGGTCGATAAATTAAACTTTTTACTTTCGTCTAGTTAGTCATAATTTTAAACGCTTTCAAGTAATTTTGAAGTGTTTATGTCTGTAGGACTAGATATTTTGTTATTCCTCGATTTTCTTGTAAATTTCTTAGAAATTTAAATCAGGGTGATATTGTGAAGAAAAAATTGAGCGGTGTAGAAGACAAGAAATAGTTTGTTTAAACAAAACAAGAAAACACAATACTTTTCTTTCATAAGACATCAATTTAAGAAAATAAAAATACATTCATCGTATTACCAATGATAAGGTTAAGCTCGCAATTGTATGTCGTGATACAGTATTTATTATCTTTATTATCCTACAAGAGCCTAAAAAACCATTGGCTCCTTCATACTTGAAATTAAGTTATGTTTGTTTTTTTCTTTTAAAATTGTCGGTAGTAATGATAGATTTTAAAATTAATTTTTGACTTCGTTGAGTAACTTCATTGATATAAATAGCAACCATTTTAGAAAAATATGTAACGCCACAACTTAACCGGATTAAAAGTAACCAACGCATGAATTGCTCTGATTTATATTCTGACCTTGCAGCAGCAACTTTTATGCATTCAACCTCTGCATTCGAACTATCTACTATTGTTATGCATGGGCACAATTTGAATGTTTACCAGCGAAAATTGTATTACCTATAAAGATATTTAAGTCTCTTTAGCCTCAGAGAATTATTAGTTTTTCTTTCATTATTTATAAGCTTCTCCTCATTGCTACAAGTGAAAGTTACATATATTTAATTTTTAATTATCGAAAATTGTTGAAAGTTTCAAAATTCAAAAGTGTTGTGTATTTTCGGTTTTGCGATCTGCATTATTATAACAATATCGTATTCACATAATATCACCGGCCTTCACCTTACATATTATCCACTCTTTTCTTTGGTATTAGTCATTCACGTGCTGGATAAAAAGGAAAGGTCTGATTAAACAAAAAAAATACGTGCCGACATTATTAATTGGTTGCTGCCATCCACCACAATAGAAAATTGTCCCTAACTAGGTCGCAGAAGAAATTGACACTTAATTGCGTCCCGATGCCATATTTTAACCCATAATTCAGTCCGAATTAGAAGTCTTTGTTTAATTAGATGATTTTGCAATAGGACCTTAATGACAAAGTTGATTTGAATGCAATTTGAACCATAACCTGAAATTAAACACGTCTCTACTTGAAAGTTAATCAATAATTTATTTTGGCTCAACCACACTAAGCAAAACCTTATTAAAGTTTAATTACCATACCATACAAGGTGTTACTTTTTCTTAGAAGGTTTCTACGTTCACTTTATCTTGGAACAGCCTGTATTTTTGGAAAACAATCGTTTGGAAATAATTGCTACATCCTAACGCTTACACCGCGTTATGAACAAGCAAAAAATCAAAAACCGCAAAGTAACAAATGAAACCGCAGTTGACTATGAAAACTAATTTATACGCTCCAAAACCGCAGGCGTAAACCCAATTAACGGATTGAGTAAAAGTTAAATTAACACATAAACCAGGAAACATTGATTTCCAACAATGTCGCAAAGTTTCATGTAGCTTTTATTTGCAGTGGACGATGCTAGTGGTCGTTACACCACCGGTTGGTTCTGGGGCAACAACTATTGGACGGGATCGCAGAGTGAATGCAACCACATCGAACCCAGATCCAACGGGGATATCGAGATAGAGGTATCTTAGATCTGAAATTTAAACACATATACCGGGTGTCCCAACGAAAATGCATATTTTAAATAAACATGATAACTTACAAATACGGAAGTCTTTCATATCTGCATATTTTTTTTTTTTTAACGGAACATGTTAAATACAAAAGTTGTTTGTATGGAAGTTTTTACATGCAATGAAAATGGTTACCATTATACAGGGTATTTGGTAAGCATCTCACTGCACCTAACTGCTGTTTCAAATGGATCACATAGAAACACCCTTCCTATTATTCTATTTTTGCATGTCTGAAATAAATTTTTCCTGAATCTCTTTGGCAAGCGGAAATACCGGAATCATCCTTACAAGCTGTAAAACATTGTTCGTCAAAGACGATGAGGGTATGGTTTGATGCACAGTTTAATTCTACATCGATTGCCTATGTTTTTCCCTATACATATGTTCAATCGTTTTCTTGTTATTTTATATTTCCTATAAAAAGTCAGTCAAACCCCGAATTCATTTCTAGTTAGCATCGAATTTGATAGAGTTAGATATGTTTTTGGTTTTATTTGAGTCAAATGAGTAAGGAGAGTCCGAAACTGACCACCCAGATCATCTGATTGAACGCACTTGAACTTAAATTTTGAATTCTTCTTTCTTTCTTCCTCTTGACTCGAAGAGATAAAGTTTGCAATTCAAATGGATATGGTTGTACACGATACCGCAAAACAGAAAATTTCTTGTCCGAACCAGCTGCGTAAGCCCGTCTGCCATGAATTCTATCTTGAACCAACCGACCGTTTTCTTTCAATTTTACCTTCTATTGTCAGGCAGAGAATTTCATATCGTTCACTCTTTTTAATTGTCAGAATCTCTATGTTTGCCTTATGTATGTAGTAACGGCGCAGTGTTCTAGTCAGGAGTTTAAGGCTGAGATTTCGGTTTGCCAGAAGTTCCCTCATGTTGTTCAGAGTTTTCTGTGTTTGTTCATTTCTTGATCTGATCTAGGATTTTGCGTCGCATTGTTGATTGACGAGTTTGCCGAAGTATTTTCGTGATCACACTTGATCAATGATCTCTCCATGCAACCTTACGGTGGTGTGCCTTTGTGTTTTTGAGAATATCAATAGTTTGGTCTTGGACAAAATCATACAAAGGCCGACTTGCTCACTACATCTCACAGAACACAACAATTCACCAAATTATTTATCGCATATCCCCTGTATGTCTAAAAGTTTATGAGCAATTACATTATTTTTAAAGTATCTTATTAAATACTATATATGTATATGTATATCATTTTACAATTAGTATGACTCTGCATTTATTGACTATGCATTTCCCAGGATCTATTTTCAAATGCTTTTTTCTTATTCCATGGTTTTGATGTATGCATCGGTATATGACATTTAACAGAGTGTAAAATATACTTTTGTTTTAAAAAATAAAATGAACGTGGTAAACTGAAAATTTCAATTTAATTAAAAGATGAAATCAAAACAGATTAATTTAATTTAAAATAATAATAAATGAAAGACATAAAAATTTGAAAAATATTGGTCCAAATACTAACGGGCCTTGTGATTTTGAATTTAAGTTAGTAAAGGCCTAGAGGACATTAGTTCTTTTATTCACCCGTGTATGTAAAAATGGTTGAAGTGTTCAAAATAATGTTACATCTTCGCAAATTTTTGAAATAGATAGTTATCATTTCGTCCACGTGTTGCTGTTAGTATTTGAGTAATGCAACGCACTTAAATTGACAAATAAAATGAGACGTTTCCAAAGCTGGGCCTGAAAATTTCTAAATTAAAAGGTGAAACCTTGTACTTTGAGAATTAAAAAAAGCACAGTCTAAAGCAAAAATGGGCTACTTTGTCGTTACTGAAAAGTGTTGTACTATAAATATTGCGTTTATATTGTGTACCAAATTTTAATATAAAAGCCTACTTGGATTGTTGTAAAGACTTGTGAATATTATGTCGAATTAAACTTAATACCTCAGTATCACAGTTTTTTTAAATAATTATTAAATTTTTATTAATATCCATTTAGTCTAAGCTATTTTCCTGAAGAATTTTAATGTTCCACAGATTCGAGCAAGGTATCCCTATAGTTCTAGCTTTCCCTGAATGTATTGCAATACGTTTAGTTTTGCGAAACTTTGCTTTTCGTTGAGGATTGTCTTGGAGTTAAATTTACCTCTAAATATGTTGTACAGAATAGAACAAGAGTTGCGAGAAGAGCCGCTGTATCGGTGCAAAAACCTTCCAGTCCAAGCCAAGCAGTTGGATACCGAACCGGTCCCATGGTTTATAATTCTGCGCCTCCGTTTCCGGTATCGTTCTTCATTATGAAGATCCATCTAAGCTCCAACTTCACTTCAGAGGTAAGGAAATTAAAGAAGATTACCACATCACAAAAATACAATACACTATACAAACTTGATTGCTCGAATTTCTCTTGCAGAACATTTAAAATGTTGGTTAATTTTGGTTGCATAAACATTGGCAATACTTTAAGAAAAATGTTAAAAACCAGAACTTTAAATATGCTCAACTCTCTATTTATCTTTTTATGTCTCTCTTTTCATTATTCTTAGTTTTATGTAATTTAATTTGAGATCTATGATGATTAAACGATTATGGTATTGGATCATCAACAAAATCCCCAAACCAGCAGTATCGCCAAATGAGATTGCGATACACATCAAAGAAAGAGCCGAGTGCGTAACCATAAGCAAAGAGGACATGACATCAGTACAAAACGAACTAGATCAGAAGAGAAATACATTACAAGAAGACGCACAGTTTTCAACCCCTTTTACTAACGACGAGGTGAACACTGCTATAAAAAGCCTTAAATTAAGGAAAGCAGCTGGCGTCGACAACATTTTCCCTGAATTTATTAAACACCTAGGCCCAAAAGCAAGAACATGGATTAAAAACTTCTTTAACGACATACTGAATTTAAAATGTCTCACACTCTCGCTATCCTCAAACCGGAAAAAAGTCCTGAAAACCCAGCAAACTACCGCCCTGTAGCCTTGCTGTGCATCTGTTATAAACTATTGGAAAGGATGATCTACAACAGAATATGCCCTATCATAAATGAACATCTACCGCATGAGCAAGCAGGATTCAGACCTCTCACCTTTAAAAAGCACCTTGAATTGACATGCCAGAAACTTAAAACCCGAAACAACATCATACGTAAATTGGCAGGCACCACATGGGGAGCAAATGCAGCTACCTTACGCACTGCAACACAATCACTTGTGTACTCTGTAGCGGAGTACTGCGCTCCTGTATGGGGCAGAAGCTCTCATGTAAATAAGATTGACACCTAACTTAATGAAACCATGAGAGTAGTAACAGGGACACTGAAGTCGACTCCTTTACCATGGCTCCACGTACTATCAAATATCGCTCCCCCAGGAATTCGAAGACAACAGGCTACATTCCAAGAATGGCAAAAGATAAATCACCCAGACCAGCCAAGAACGTGGCCTATTCACAAGGTAATCGATGAACCCTGTGTGAATCGACTGAAATCAAGGGCCCCAATGTGGAACTTGGAAGCACTTGCTCCAGGAAAAACCTACGACGCTTCTGAATCATGGACATCCGTATGGAATAACAGCAATGTCAATCAACACAACATAGAAGATCCTAATAAACAGCTCCCAGGGATGCAACTACCTCGTAAAACATGGTCCCTATTAAATAGAGTTAGAACTGGACATGCAAAAACGAGATCAGCGATGCACAAATGGGGAATTGCCGACAATCCAGCATGTGACTGTGGAGCTGAAGAGCAAACATTAACACATATAGTCCAAGACTGCCCACTGAGAAGATTTACTGGACAATGGAAAGACTTTACTGATGCAAGCCCCGCTGCCATTGCATTGTTATCTGAACTGGATTTGGACCTGTAGATTTGCTTTTCCCACACCGCTAGGTTGCTCGCATGCACCTGTTATTTGTACTGTCTGTGTCATATTTAATGTGTATTACTGTGCTTTACATTACTTGTATTAATTGTCATTTATACCTACCTTTCATAAGAATTTTGTTTGTAACCTATTATATAGCACTTGTAGAGCCATAAGATAAATAAATAAATAAATCAGCAAAATCAAATAGCAAATAGATTATCAAAAAAAATACATGGGCTTTATTTCTGAGATATAGAAATGGTGCGAAAGAGTGTTCAGTTCGATTATATAGATTGTGTTTTACATTAATCGAAATAAACTCACTTGAATTAAAGAAATAAACAAAATTTTCTTTATAGATTGTGGTTCTAGGTAATCTTGTTTTTCATGTTGCTGTTGCCTACTCCGAGTAAACATTGATAAGCTAGTTCCGCTTAACAAAGGACATTCTTTACTTTAATTTTAATTTAATTTAAGTTTTAATTCTCTCATTACCTTAATTTTAATTTCAAACTGATTTTCTAGAAGCTATATATAACTAGACTATTTACTAGACACCGGACAGCTTAACAAGTCTTGTTTTAATTTAAACAGTCTAACGAGAGTCGTTATTAATTGTCGATCCGACAAATAAACTAAGGAAAATAAGTAAAAATTGCACTTTTCACCTGTTTTTTAGAGGTCATGTATGGCACAAAACCTTATACAATGGTTAGTGTTAAACCCAGCGGCCTTCTAGTGTTTCTATTTCATAATAGTTGAGTTTCTGGTTACAGCTAAAAGGTATCAATGTTTATTAAAACGGAAATTAAGAGCGTTAATGAATTTTCGCTGTATTTTCTGAAATTCAGTATTATACTTATCATAACAAGTGTTCCAAGTTGAGGAATATTCAAGATTTCATCATTCTATTATAGAAAATAATGATTTTGAGTGTTTAAAAGCCTTGGATGCCCTTGAATTGTAATGCTCTTATTAGATAAAATTTTATTTTACTGCTGCTTTCTGGTGAATAAAATAAAAGTTCCATTTATCTGACTTTAGCAATAGTCTATGAAATTGGCACAAAATGTATTTAAATCATTTTAGATTCATAGTCTCAGGTAAACAATTAGTCAAAGTACCAAGAACATCAAACTTTCGTTATTACTGACTAAATAATAATATATAAATATATATATATATATATATATATATATATATATATATATATATATATATATATATATATATATATATATATATATATATATATATATATAATAATTAAAATAAAATGTTGTTCCTTTAATCTTAAAACAATTAGTCATTAGCATTTGACAGTAGCTAATAGGGTGATGAATTTAAATTTATTATTAAATAAATATAGTGCATATGATAATTAGTGCCTTACATAGCAGTTACTACAATACCCCAAATTACTATTTGCTTAATTACATGCTTAAACGCGAATTGATAACCTAGTATTTTTACTTAAATAGAGGCTGTTTTTTTTCTTATTTGTCTCCGCGTCGGCGGATATGTCGGAATACACGAACGCGAATTTGCACTTTCAACTAATTTAACGGAGTAATCGCACATTTATATAACTGGGTTATGTAGGCCTCTTCCACTCAAACGTTTTTTTTTCTCCTCTTCATAATCTCGTAGTGGCTACGCAACAACTATGTTTACTGTCACTTTTTCTTTTATTTGTTGTGGTTTTAACAGGAGAAAATTCTGGACTTTGGACTATGCTTGCCCAGAATATGTACCGACGAAGACGTCACCAAGATAGTGGAGAAGACGTCTTCCGCTTCCAAAAATGTCGAAGTTGAAGTGGTCGCTATAAAATCTCACTATCATAACTATAATATTTGGCAAGACAACACGTTCATAATACTATGGTGAGAATGTTCTTTCTATAAGCATTTTTTAAAAAACTCCATACATTATTGGTAACAGTAATTCTTTGGGCATATCATATTAATAATAATTTGGTAACATTTTCAGCTGCACAACCATCGTCATCGCATTCTTCTTAATTACCGGAACATCCTTTGACTACTACTTGGAATACCAAAAGAAGAAAAATTTAATGACATCCAACTTGTCTCCCCATTTAAATGGCTTCAACTCACCTAACGGTACGTTTAATAAATTTGGCTTCTGTTTGATTTATGCTGTAGACGTAAGCTTAACACAGTAGTTTAAAAACGGCTCACATCCTGCGTACTTCAAAACTCATCAGCGCGCATGCTACAGAAATTCACTGCATCTTCATTTTGTTTAAATGAATATAAACAAAAAGGCAACAATGTTAACGGTCTATTTCTGTTTAAATATCAATTTTTCTAGTAGTAACCGTCACCATATAATCCTTTCAACAAATCCAGACATTTTACATACACGTGTTTATGATTTTATATAATCAAAATATCCTCTGATGTATTTTTATAGGAAAATACGGGGTATACGTTGTAAATACAAATCGTAGCAACGACGATAATAATAACGGAAATTTGCAATCGCTAGACGCTAAATCCGCTTCAGCATCATCACGTGAGCCTTTGGCAAGTATGTATCTGCGCTTATCTATTATTATTTGTTACTAATAAAAGTTTGGTGGCTGTACATTTGCACTGTATAACGTAGCAGACAACAATACTTCCGCTTTCAAGTCAATAACATTGCATTAACTTATCGACTAAAGCGTCACAAACTCTGCTAAATATTCCTATTGAGTGACATAAAAATGACAACAAATTACCTGGTGCCACAGCAGGCACCAGGTAAGTTTTTAAGATGAGACCTACAATTCCAAACAGATTTTGACCACCATATTTTGGTAAATAGAAACCCCTCCATTCTCATTGCATGATTATATTTAGCCTTATAAACTAAGGTGAGCTATTCCGAATATGTTTTACAGAGATTACTAAAATCAGAACAAGTTTAAGATTTTAGACTAGTTAATTTTTGTGCATTTATTGATTTCTTTTTTTTTTAATTGTAAATATCTCAGGTCCAAGTTAAACAATGTTTAGTTTTTCATCAAACATCAAAAATTTTATTTTTTCTTTTGGCGTTTAAAATATCCTGTTTAATCAATTTGTTAATTAATAAAATAAAAAAACTTGATGATGGGAGAATGAATCTTAAAAATCTTAAATGTGTAAGAGACTGAATTTTTAGAGTTCAGTTTCATTTTTAAATAATTTTAAAATTGTAGAAGTACCAGAAAGTCTTTACCTATCGCGCGATCCCAATAGCGAGAGTTTATATATAGGCTGCTCTTTTTCAAATAAACAATCTATAATGTCTTTAATTTACTGTAAGTACACACTATAGGACAGTCCTATCACATTTTGGTTTTGTGCTTTTTTTTAATTGTATTTGGAGCATTTTTATGTTTAAGCAGCAGTCACTACCTTAGACAAAAGCCTGCTTTAAAATATTCTTCTAAAATTAACCAAAACGGACATTATTGCAATAATGGTACTATCAAAATTGTTAATGTTATATTAAATATCTGCCTAGGAATGAAATGACTTTCGGAATAATATAACTGGGAAAGAAAAAATTAATATATCTTGCTGCTTGAGGCCTTATCTTCGATTCTTAAAGTAACTAAATAACACCATTAAGTAAATCATCCAAAAATAAAATATAGCTCATCCTTTTTACTTTGAACCATTCGTTTTTCCGATGCTTTTGAAAACTGATATCTGGGGTATTCTTCGACTTTAAGTTAAGATGCTGATCTTTATAGGCATGAATTCTAAGGCGGTTGCAAGAAGAAAAGTTTCAATAAATATGTTGTCTAAACCTTCGCACTTCTGCGCCACATCATGACCTTAATACTTAATACTTTTCTTAGTTTTAAAGAAATTTTATTGGCGACAATGATTTTCTTCAAATTAAAATTCTTTTTAAAATCAATATTCATTTTGGAGCAAGAAATAAAATAAGGGTAAGCAAATGCACATGTATTCTGAAAAGAAAAGGAAGGGAGGGTTCACTGGTTATGTAACATTATGGAGGACACTATTAATTTGTTCGTTCGATATGTTGTGTTACCAAGTCAAGTTGGGCGGATAATATGGAAATAGAACCTACATAAATTAAATTTATCCTATATCTTAAAAATAACTTTCATTTAAAGAAGGAAACAATTAAAAAATAAGAAAATGTTCAATATCAAGGAATGGCTTAGAAGGAACTTTTTTTCTGAAAACTTCAACACCCCCTACATCAAAAGTTTTGGTTGGATCACTGCAAGGATCGGCATGTTATCCTGAAACACCCTCTAAACCTTTTTCCTAATGGCATTCATGTTAGCATGTTACATTTTAGGATTAATTTTGAGGGAACTGCTTCTCTCTTTTTCGATAAGAGCCAATTTGAAAACCATTTGCGATCAATCCGTTGGCAGCGACACGATTCCAGTTATACACGGACTCAAGTCGATCAGCATGCTCTGGGTCATTTTGGGGCACACTTGTATCGTAGCATTTAAATACTCAGGTAACTTAGGATGAAGTAAAATTGATCTCCATTATAAATTACTTTTTACATGCAGATAATATGGAATACCGAAAAGTCATTCAGAAAGATTTTATGTTTCAAACTATCTCAAACGGAGCGTTCAGCGTCGACACTTTCTTCTTCACCAGCGGACTGTTGGTTTCATTTCTCTACTTTAGAACCAACGCTAAAGGCAAATTGGACCCGCTATCAAAGGGCAAAAACGGTTTTGTGGCCGGATGTCTTCACTTTGCTGGATTAATGATGTACAGATTTGCCAGGTAGTTTACATAGCGTCTGGGTTTGGCCCAGTCAAAAATTGTTTTTTCAGACTGACTGCACCTTACCTGTACACGCTCGGAATCGTTGAAGTTGTAATGAAGTGGTTCAATTACAATGCGGTATTCGAGCCCCCAACTAACGACCACGAAAATTGCCCAAAGTTTTGGTGGAGAAATCTTCTGTATATTAATACCCTATTCCCCGTCAACGAAATGGTGAGACATATTTTATCTCTTTCGCGGTCCAAATTACTGAATATTGGCAATTATTTTAGTGTATGCTTTGGAGTTGGTACTTGTCGGACGACACTCAATTTTACACGGTTAGCGCGATAATGCTTATAGTAGCAACGAGGTAAATTCCTGCTAAGATATGCCTACAGAGACGGGCCCTCTATAGGACGCAAATGAAAATCGGGTTTTCTGAGTAACTTGCCCTCATAGTCCCTACCAATTTACTTTTTCATTTACCACGTAGGACTAAGGTTCTTCTAAATATGGAAGAAAATATTTTACTGTTTCTTCTTTCAGTTCTTGTGTTGATACTACAAGAAATTCAAATATCCTAATCTTTGTTTTTACTTAATTACATAACGGTTCGGACAGATAAATCACTGTACTTTATCAAATTCCAAAGATTACTGCGCTTATATATAGTTAAGTTCAATCGTAACGGAATTGGCTGCAGTTAACAATGAATTGTCCAACTACTCGGCAAAACAACTTCATTTGCTAAGAACTCAAACTATTTCTGAATCCTTAAGGATATAGAATTTTTAGAAATTTGCTAGCTCTCACTTCAGTGTGCCTCACTCTCTTCAGTTGAAACTCATGCCATAAATATTGTGATCGTTCAACCCAAAATCTGACTTACATATGTTGATGACACTTTGATAATATGAAATTAAACCGATAGACAGCTGAATTCCTTTTTCAATCACCTTAACTCTTAACTCTCTAGCTTAACTAGATGTCCTTATAAGTAGAAGTAGTCAATCAGCTTATGTTTACATCGAAAACCAACATATTCTGGAAATATCTAAGTCTCTACCTAATGAGAATTGAAAAATATTCAATCATATTTGCTCCAGAATGATTACACTGGGAAATGTCGCACCGGTTGTGACAGACTCAATAATACGACTACTTGACGAAGACATCCTCTCACTCTTAACATTCGGTAAGAAAGGGACAATATATTCTAAATATACTACCCGAAGAACACAGACCAACACAAAAAATGGCGCAACACATAGGTTTGGGATAGCAGATTTTTTTTGGTCAGAGGTCGGTGTCGTCGAAAAAGCTCAAATTTAAAGAGAAGACCATTGTCATAGCAATTAGTAACAACGATTTTAGCAGCCCAAGCGTGGAAATACTCATCATCTGGCAACCACTGATAAATCCCAGCGTTAGCGTCCTTAATGATTAACTTCATGGTTGACTATAGCCAACTCAGAAACGGATGAATACCATAAACTAATGGTATATAAATAAATACAATGAAAGTTCGAAGTTCTTTTAGTTTCAAGTTCCAAGAAAAATAATAATTAATGCGACAATATTTTATTTCAAATAAAAAAAACATCACCTATAATATCATAAATCAATTATTCATTTTTCAGAAATGTTTATTTAAATTATATAAAATATATACTTTATAAGTCATTCAGTGAAACTCGATTTCAGGCGCCTTCTTGGTTTAATTGTTTACACATTCGAGGATAGTCTCTAAGTTTGAAAATATTTTCAGACATTTTAAAGCCGCAGCTTGGATGCTCTTGGTATTCATGCTGAGTTCTTGGGCGACCACAGGCTACATCGCGTACAGTAACAGCCACATGCCAGGATCAGATGACCCTTTAGCGCTTTTCGATAAAATTTATGACAAACCATGGACCAGGTTCGGTCCGTACCTAATCGGGATGTGCGTGGGCTGGTATCTTTTTAAAAAAAACTGCAGAATCAGGATGTCCAAAGTAACCCATTGCTAACTAAATGTTTTTGTTTAATGTACACGTTTTACGTTTCCAGGTTGTAGTAGTGATTGGATGGATTCTATCTATTGGCTGCCTTATATCTTTGGTATATGGATTATACGACGTCAAATTATCACCAATAATTGCAGCAGCATACAGTTCGTTGAGCCACTCAGCGTGGGCTTTTGGATTAGCGTGGATTGTCGTGGCTTGCGTCACGGGTTATGGAGGTAAGTAAGCACCGATGGAATATTTAATACAAATGTTATAAAATAAAAAAAGAAAATTGTTGCTAATAATTTTAAATAATAAAAAAGTAAAGTTACATGCATACTTCCACATAATTACGAAAACTAAAAATTAGACCTCCATTTAGGTGCAAATTAAAAAAAAACAATATTTTGTTGAACAATCTTTAATCAAATTCTTCTAAGCTATTTATTACAAATAGTTATTCGCAGCTTTTCTGGAGCTTCATAATGATTTCGGTTTCCAGTGCTAGTCTTAGTTCCCTTGCGACATTTAGTAATACTGGGCTCTTAATAGTCTTTTCACGTAACTTTTTCCAAAATAAAACGAGAGAGCTGAAAATACAACCTTCGCATCAAAATTACCGCACCACTAAAATTTGGATCATATTGAAAGTAAATTTTCTCTTTAGATCTTCAGAAATGTTGTCATGAAAAACAATTTTATTTAAATTTAAGTTTTAGGCATGTACATAGTGTTTCAAGAAAAATCAGTTTTATTCTCCACTATTGTCGCATATTTTATTCACGTTTTTTTCTCAGTTATTAAGTAAAATCCAAATATCAAAGAAGAAGTTTTATAATACCACACAGATCACATACTCCAAGAATAGTAGAAAAATATTTAGATGGGGAGACTACTGAGACCTTGGACTGTCCTCAACATAGTCCAGATCTTAACCCAATAGAACATTTATGGTTCATATGACTAGTCAGTCACTCCGTCGCCTGTCTCCTTGGATGATTAGAATTAAGGAAACATGGACTAATATCGATCAAGCACAAAATGAACGTCTGGGTCAAAATTATGAGGAGAAGAGGAAGAAACACCCGATATTGACTTTTTATTTGTGATTTATGGTTTTGTTTCAATTTTAAACTTAACACCTAATAGTTTTAACCGCAATTCCTACTCAATATTTTTCTTTCAAATGTACATTGCCAAACGCTCAACTTTCAATAAAAACGTTTTTTTTAAACTGCATTCCTGAGGATTTCAGTGAAAACTTATAAAATATATATCCTAATGGAGGCAACAGTTCTCTAGGAAATGAACTTTGTACTTTCAAATTGAAACATTTCACTATAGTTTGAATAGTACTTTATGCAACAAGTTTGAGCTTTAGTCACCGATTTATCAACATGTTAAGTACTACACTTTTTGTAAAACCGGTGTTTGAGTACATTTTTGCAAACAGCACAAATACATTCACTGACTGATGTATGACATGACCATCAGAACTGACCAAACCTACCGAACACTCCAATCGCTTACAAACCCATAGCCAAAGTACTGAAGGTATTTTAGAGTAGCGAGTAGACAAAATAATTAAATTTCAAATAAAACTGTCATGAATTCAAGAACGTTAAGTTAGAAACAGTTCAGACTACTTTTACAAATAAAAATCAATAATGTAATTTGTTTCAGGTTTCGTAAATAAAATCTTATCGGCGACGATACTCTACCCATTCAGCAGAGTTACATACTGTGCATACCTCATCCACCCGATAGCGATAAGAGTGATGGTTATGAGTACCGATAGCCCACTCCATTTGGGTAGCTTCGTCACCATAGTGATTTTCATGGGGCAAGTGGTGGTATCATACGCACTCTCGTTCGTTGTTTCGGTAGCCTTCGAGGCTCCTCTGGTATCGATGCTGAGAATATTCGCCAAAATTGTGGCGAATAGAAAAAAGCCCTGCGGCATGCCAACCTAAATTTAGCGTGTTGTAAATTCGTGTAAATAATTTATTCTGTAACTATTTATCTGCATTTGTTGTCTTGCCAGTACAAACTGTTTGTGAAATGAAATTTAAAAAGCGGGTACGTGGCTGCAGTTAACTGCATAACTCGTCGAACGTTTACACAGATAATTCAGGTGATTTCGAATTAAAATAATTTATTGTCGTTTGCGCCTCGAATTATCGATGAAGTCAAATGTGAAATTGTATTAGGCTTATTAATAATCTAGCATTTTATAGTCACTATGTTATCTTCTGTAAATTGTTGTCGTACCCAGATAATAATAGAGTGGTTCAAGTTATAACCGTTTTTCTGTGACCCGTCCCGGCATAGAAAAATCAATCATCGGTATATAACACTAAAAGAATCCAAGACAAGACTACTCTACAGCGTCTCTTGATTACCTATCTCATTTCCACTCTTCAACATATAGCGATTAGTGTGCGTCTCGCTTGTGTTTTATGGTTTCTGTTTCTTTATTAATGTTTTAAATTAATTCGATATTTTTTGACTTGGAAATTCGTTGTAATAAGATGGATGTCCGTGGTTTTAACATTGAAAACACTCATTTTTATCTTGTCTTATCTCTATAATCATTCTAAGTCATCCTCATCATTCGTCCATTTATATTTAGTTATTGATCAAATAAATAGTCTTACGCAATCTCGTAAAAAATTAAGAAGCAGAAAATGACAAGTCAAGAAACGATTATTCTCAAATCCTAGACATATACGACACTTCTTTTTTGCTTATGCGTATTCGCAAATGTTCGATTTCAAATGACAATCGCGTAAGTCTTGATAACTATAAGAAGGGTCATTAATTGGAAATCGATGCGGAAGCTGGGCTGGAGTCATTTGTTGTGTCAATAGTTCTCGAGGTACATTAGCAGAGTCTGTCGGGACTGAGGTAATCGAGGGTCCTATTTGTGCAATTCTTTACCAAAGATGCGTTCTCAGCATCAGTAGCAACGCTGGAAGGAATTCTGACTGCATAATTTTATAATATAAAAATAATAAAAACGGGCAAAATTTTATATAATTGTATTGCTAATTTAAACATCAGCTGCACTGGTAGTTTCTGAGATATAGAGAAAATAAAAGTTTGCTATAAAAGTTCATCATAACTATTTGCTAAAATAAATAGCCCCACCATAAAACCAGCCATTTAAATATAATCTTTAGAAAGTCTTTAAAATTTGCCTTTTCAGACAGTGATAGTAAAGTTACTTTTACTGAAACCTCGAAAACAAGAATAGCGACAGTTATTAAAAATCTCGATTGCCCAATTACAAAATATTACGCAATATTGTAACACTCTAGATGTGTGATAACTAGATTATAGACTATATGACTATATGACAAAGCTTTTTTTATTCGGTTGATAATGCGGTTGCCAATTTAGAACCAAAGCGCATTGCCCGATAAGTAGCAGAAGATAATGCGGAGATAAATGTGTGGCTCATTTTAACAAAAAAAAAATGGGGCTTGTTGGTGCTGTATTCTTAAAATTACTATATTCGTCGTAAATTCGTCAGAAAGGAATAAAAGTTTTTTCTCTAGCCAATAATCAACTCGTTTTGAAAATCAAAAAAGGTCTCAAATAGTAATAATATTCGTTAAAAATAAGGACGACATAATTTAAGTTTCACGTTAAGTATTTTTTGCCAATTCCTCTTTTCAAAAAGAATCAGATTCAATTCGTCATCGCACAAATTTTTGGCAATTCATATTTTATCTGAAAATCTACTTCTGCTCGTCCTCGCGATTTACTGTCGCCTACACTCGACCTTGATTATACGTTTGAAAATATACAGAGAGTACTAACAACATTTAAAACTTCAATTGGTTTGTTTACCGATCATATACACCGTTACTTGGGGATACATTAATGACACTGTTAAAAAAATGATGATGATGCGTTGTTATAAAGTGGGCACAGTGGCGTAGCATAAAGGGCTTTATTTAGCGTCCGATAAATAAATGGTTTTTTATTTTTGAGGTAAAATTCGAGAACCACGAAATATTGTTACCAGCAATTATGAACGATATTTTTGTGGTATGTTTAATTGCGGATTTATCAGTATTTTAAGCCAAGAAATGTGAAACACAGGCTGTTAAGGAAGTCGTTAATTTTAAATTAGTGTCCGAATTACCTACCAGAAGCCTACAGGACAAAAAAATATTTGTTTGTGGGACAATTATCCTTGTACTAGGTTTTTAGTTCATTATTTTTTAGTGATGAAAAGAACCTGTAGTGTTCTATTTTTTCGTATTTTTACGGAATTAATAATTATAAAATAATAATTTTCATTATCGATAAATATTTTCGAACGCACGTCTATGTATCTAGGTATGATTTCCTATATTAAGTGGAGAACCGAGATCTCCATAAAAACCTCGAACTTCGCAGACAGGCAATTCAGTTTAGTTTGCCGGTCTCTGATTCTAATCGCATTCTTCCCTAAATTTAAAAATGGTTTTATCTTTGAACCGTTGGGTCGGCAAAGTCGCAGTAGTGACTGGTGCTAGTTCGGGAATTGGAGCTGCCATCGTTGAACAATTAGTAAAAGCTGGAGTTGTAGTAAGTGTCTCTTCTCTTCTTAATTAAGGACCAAATTTTCTTATTAAGTAATTATTTAAAAATTTATAAAATACAGTCTAACTCAAGTTTTAGAGAAGGATTAAAAGACATTCCTAGCCATCTTTCGGTAGTATTGAAAAAAAAGCACATAAACCAAATTAATTCAAAGGTAAATGTTTCCGTGTGAGTGAAAAGTATGAGTGAGTGAGTGAAAACTAACCAAAACTAACCAAACAATTTTTTAACATTTTTTTATTTAATTTTTTGTTACAATAGAAATTCCTTGGCCTTTCGAACCAACTTTATTTATTTTTAAAAGTAGTATTTCACGCACTGCCTTATAATATAAGCTTTGGTATTTTATTTCTATAACAATGTACTAAAATTAAATGCAAGTTTGTTCCATTGACTACAGTAAAAGTGCTTTTTCCATCTTTTAGTGGTCTAGCAACGACGCTCTGGATTACTTTTTTCTTAGAAACGATAAATTCATTTGATTTTCTAAGATGTCACAGATTTGGTGCTATTAAACACCTTTTCAAAACTTATTAGGATAGAATAATTATGTAGAGTGATTCTTAGTGCGTGAACTTAGGTTAATTGCTTGGAAAAACACAGAACCCGAGAGGGCCTCAAAATCAGCAAAGCGTGATTACCACAAATTTGTAATACAAAAATTACGTGGCATAATTAACTGATTTTTGTCTTCAATGAACGATGGCCGTAAAAGGAAAACTCTACTTGGTATAGTTTATTTTATAACATTTAAAAATAGAAGGATGGTACTTTAAACAATTTACTTTCCTTACGAAAGATTTAGAGAAATGATTAAGTGTAAGTGCAAGGAAACCCGAACAACAACAAAAAAAATTAAACTAAAAAACATTTGTCAAAACAACTGAATTGGATTGTACGTAGGCAATGTATGTTTATCTTATTTAGCTGCATAATTAATGTACATATATAGGTAGCTGGACTAGCCAGAAGGAAGGAAAGGGTCGAAGAACTGGCTAAAAAACTCAGCGGGGAAAAAGGTAAATTGGTTGCCGTTCAAGCTGACATCACCAAAGAACAAGATATCAAAACGGCATTCGAATATGTTTTGAAAAATCTGGGACCGGTCAATATTTTGGTTAACAACGCCGGTCTAAGTAAATTTACGACACTTACTGACGGAGACACACAGTCATGGAGGACTGTCCTAGGTGAGTACTTGGGACAAGATAGGCAAACATAAAAAGCCCTTAATATTTACTATTCTTTTAGATACAAATGTTCTTGGCCTGAGCATCGCCACCAGAGAAGCGATCAAACAAATGAAAGAAAATAACATCGATGGTCACGTAGTCCATATCAATAGTATTCTCGGTCACGTTGTAATAAATTCTCCAGGACTGAATGTTTACCCCGCAACCAAATACGCAGTTACAGCTCTGGCTGAAACTTTGAGATATGAAATAAACAGCCAAAACCTAAAAATTAAAATCACGGTATGATTTGCTTACAACAGCTAATTAGGTCAGATTGTAAAACTTTTTTTTAAAAAATTTTCGAACTGGTGTTGCCATGGAATAAATAGGCAAAATTGGCTATGAGCAACCCAAATTTAATTAAACTCAGGAGATGATTTCAAGAATAAAATTTGTTACCGGTTGGTATTCGATGAAAACGACTTAAAATGATTAAAGTGACAAATATTAGAATCTAATATTCGCATTAAGATATTGGAATCTATTCTTTGTCATTTTTATTTTGATACACTGTTTTACCCCAGAAGTTATCAATAACAGTATTCTGATTAAGGCTGTTATGTAGTTTCACAATCACAAAACAAGGTCAAAGTAAAATATATTTTTTTACGATATTAATGACAATTGAATTATTTAAAAATCAAAGGGGACGTACTATATATCGAGCATTAATTTCTTATAAGAAGGAAGCAATTTACGTGAACGTGACGTGTTTTTTCTGATATGATACAAATTTCTAAAATAATATTTTCAACTTTTGGCTTTAAATTGCCTTTAGGAATTTGTCCCTAACATGTTATTATTTTTTAAATTAAGTACTGTGGAAGACGTATCTAATCAATTGCTTATTCAGTGCCAACCTCTGAAAAATCCAAAGAATACGTCAATGGCTGAAATTGATTAAATTCTGAGACAGAATTAGTAGTAAATTTAGTAAATCTGTTGTTTAGTTATTACCGATCTAAGAACCCTTTGAACTTTTAGCAACATAAATGTTGACCAGGTGTCTCTTTAAACTTATGATAAAAATATTAATATTTTGTAGACTACGTTTTTTACGATTGTGCTATTGCATTTTAAAAAATGCAGAAATTCTGTTTGTCTGCATTTAGTTGTCATATCAATCAGCTATTACCTTCTTTCTAGTCGTTGGTATACATTTTAGGCTATAGGTGTGGTTATTAACTAGATTAAAGCGTATCATTTCTTATTATTTTGGTGGTGAAATCATGTTTTATTGTTACAGAGTGTCAGCCCTGGATATGTAGAAACTGAATTCATCGAGGTTGCTACAGGAAAAACAGCAAAAGAAATTGGTTTTGACGGCCCTGGTTTAAAAGCAGAAGATGTGGCTGACGCTGTGGTCTACGCTTTGTCGACGCCTCCTCACGTAAATGTAAGTATGATTTGCTCAGTTCAATAAATTTCAAATTTGTAACGGTTCCTTTTCGTTTAGTATTTGGTTGTGATTTGTCATAACGATAAATTTCTTTTATTTCAGGTTTCCGAAGTCACTGTACGAATAGTTAACGAACCGTTTTAATTTAACACTTTTTTGTATAAATTATTATTAAATGTCAATTAACATTTTTCTTATTTTTTTTTTATACCAATCTGTACGAATCCCATAACCCCACAGAGGTGTGGAAGCCAGAAATTGTTTGTTATTTTGTTATTTTATATTATTACGGGCAGTGAGTAAAGTGTAAAACGCACCTTTTTGAACCGACATCGAATCAATCAATAATATATAACTAATTTTTATAATATAAGTTTTCATACACATTTATGAAAAAGCCATTTCAATCAAACTTTTTTGTAATGTAAATGTAATTTGATAAAATTTTAGAAAAATTAGATACTAGTATAAATGAAAATATGCAAATTTAATTCAAAGCAAAGCTGAATTATTAAATGTCCGCTTAACTATAAAATAAGAGGCAAAGCATATAAATTACAACCAAAAATTATAAACAAATATTAAAAATAAAAAAAAAATAGTGACAGATTGCCGAACAGTTTTATTTTTGTCTTAATTTCGTACATCTCGAATCTAGTCAGTTCGAAATTGATGCGCCGCAGGTGGCTATTATATAAAATAGAAATAGTTTATCTATCTAAAGTTAAACAGTTAAATACTTAACTCATTTTTCCCTGAAGATTTAATGGGATCTGGATATATTTTAAGAAAATACTACCGTCAAAATGCCGCATCCAAACTTATTGACGATCTGACAGCTTAACCACCAGATTTTAAATCTCACATATGCGCATGTTCAATTTAATTTCTCAAAAAAAAATTCACAGCTGCTTATAAGTTTCTTAAATCTTCATTAATAACAAGAAAGCATTACTAAAAATTAAATAGGTTTCGAACTACTATTGTTAAACTTTTTACAAACCTTCTGGATTCCTCCTGCGTCGGTTTTTGCTGAGTCAAACTTGATGACGTTTCGCCAATCATTCTGTTGGCTTCTTCAGAGTTTGACGGAAACTGAGAGTTTGACAATTTCAGTCAAGCTCTGAAGAAGCCATCAGGATGATCGGCGAAACGTCAGCAAGTTCGACTGAGCAAAAACCAACGCAGAAAGAATCCAGAAGTTTTGTAAAACGTATTACAGTAGCCTGTGGAAGTTTCTTTGAAAAAAAATACTATTGTTAAAACTCAAGTGAGCAAGTAGAAGTTGGGTGTGACAATTTTTGCATAAAATGTCTCAATTTTTTGTTTGTTGAATTGAGTTATCTGTATTTGTTCAGTTAAGCGCTATCTGTGTTTATAAATTAAGCTGGTAGAACCTGGCAGAAGTTGGTAACAACTTTTAACACCGCGCCAAGGGTAGATTGTTACACAACAAAGAGCAAAAAGTTACAACGAAAGACAAGCTAATTTCAGACGACTTATTAGCAAAAATTACGGCGTTTCTTAATTTTCATAAAAATAAAGTATATGATTAATTTTTCAAAGAACGTTTCACAGGGAACTTTAATACTATTTACAAAATTTAAATATGCAAAAGAATTTAAAAAATAGTCAAAAAGCAACAAAAAAAGTAAGCTTCTGCTTAAAAAAGACAATTAGACCCCAGAATTAAAACAAGGCAGTAATATATTGCTTTCAAGTAAAAATTTTTTGAGTAATACTTATTTGTGGAAGTACAGCAAACACATGTCAATCAGTCACTGTTTTATTTAATTTGCTTATCCATTTATTTATAAAGCAAAGATAATTTCTAACAATGAAAATAATTCTTGGGATTAAGTACAGGGAAACCTGATGAAACTTTCTAACACTTTTTTTACAAATCCGAAAATTAAATAAATCTGGTGTTCCATATAAGGAATTTGGGTGCTGTGAGAGACTTATTCATTATTTTCATTGCATACAGCATTTTCATACAAACAAATTTGTATTCGAGTTTTTTCTGAAAAATGGAGTTTTATAAAAGAATCCCGGAATAGTCAACGTTCATATTATTCCATGGTCATAGTCACGGTGGTCGCATCGGGTCGTCGAATTTATCCAATATGTTTATAGATTTATAACCTATATTTAAAGTAATATGTAAGGAAATAAATAAATTAAAAAACAAAACAGCTCCAAAATGTATCATTTTGTGTCCCACACACATACACCGTGACTTGGGGAAACGGTAATGACACAGTCAAAAAACTGATGCTGATGACTGATGACACAAAGATACAATGGCGTAACATGACGGTATTTATTAAGGGTCCACAAATAAATGGTTTTTGATTTCTTATGTTGAGTAGGTGGTTTCAAGAACACTGGTTATGAACAATTCAATAGTATAGTATATTTTAAGGCTTTTATTGGTCAATGAAATTTTCAGCCGCGTACGTAAGTTTTAAGACTCAAGCGATTTTGTAATATATATATTTTGATATATCTATTATCTATCTATTTAAATTCCTAGTACAACAACACTTTTATTAGTATGTTGAATATTTGAAATTACAACGCTCAAATTTTTTATCTTTTTGCCTATTCACGAGTTAAACGTGCCGTTTCTATTGTGTAGAAATTTGTAGGTATACTTGAATTTTTTAGGCTTTTTCTGCGTACGCCTATGTAGAGACGGAGGTGTTTATAAAGGCTGAGGCTAAGACAATCAATTAAGTTTACTTTATCGATATTTGTAAGTAAACTCATCTCCGAAATTTCAAAATGGTTTTATCCTTGAATCGTTGGGTCGGCAAAGTCGCAGTAGTGACTGGTGCTAGTTCAGGAATTGGAGCTGCGATTGTAGAAGAATTGGTAAAGGCTGGAGTTGTGGTGAGTTTTTAAAAATTAAAAACCAGTTTTTCAGTTTTCAATTCTCTTAGTGCAGTTATAAAATTAGCTCGTAATTAAAATATCGGGGACCAAAAAAGGATAAAAGAGGAAAATTGAAATAAAATGTAACAGAGAGTTTCTAAAGCTTGTTAATTTTATTTCATATGAAATATGGGATAGGTATGTGGAATTTGAATGAAATTGGGTTAGTTACTTGAAAAGGATTTTTCGGGCTATTCGACCGTCGTTTCATAATCTCATAAAATGGATGAAATTCATGCGATTCGGGGAATCCCAATAAAATAGCGACTCCATTTACTTCTCAGAATGACGAGACGGCGATGTAACGCACAATATAAATAAATAGAAATTTCATTGTATTTTTAAAATTATTAGGTCATTTGACCGGTCAATTGACTGATCAATTGACACAAAAAAAATTGACCAGTCAAATCCACAACGCTAGCTACCACTAAACTGGAGATTTCTATAACCATAGCTCCAGGACTGCCATTCTTTCAGGACGAATCAGCGGGGAAAAAATGTTTTTTGTCTGTTCTCTCTTTTTTGTTCCATTTTAGCACTCTACAGGCATCACAGTATAATTGAAAGCTGTCGCACTCCCACCTCTTCGGCTAGCTTTTCTTTTCTAATTCTCCGATGAGTCCGAATTTTAAATTTGAAATTTGGCAGGAATTAGCACAGGCCAGTAACGGAACTTATTAAAACTACAAAGTTGAAGGGTCAGAATTCAGTCACGAAGCATTTTAATAAATTTAAAAACTTTTTCCCTTTCCGATTCAATTTTTGTCGCCGCTACGTAAACTCCAAGCTAGAAGTTGATTGATCATGTTCATGTAGAAGCTCATTGCGTCCTTTTTAGACGATACAGAACTCGCAACGTTCGCCTACAAAATTTACAATAGATCCGTTGTTACATAAGCTACAATGCAACCACACCGTACAAACATTCCAAAAAAAACATTATTTTTCTAAAATTTTCTAAAAGTTCTAGTTCACTAATTTAAAAAGTTTTTAAAAAAATTATCAGGGTTCTATGGCGTATCTTAAAAGAAGAAAGTAATTTAAACTGATTTTTTTTCTGAACAGTACGTAAGCTATATATTTTATCTCGCTTAGTTGCATAGCTGTTATATAGGTAGCTGGACTCGCCAGAAGAAAGAAAAAAGTGGATGAATTGGCTAAAAAACTAAGCGGCGAAAAAGGTAAATTGGTTGCCGTTCAAGCTGACATCACCAAAGAACAAGATATCAAAACGGCATTCGAATATGTTTTGAAAAACTTGGGCCCGGTCAATATTTTGATTAACAATGCCGATCTAAGCAAATTAACGACACTTATTGATGGTGACGCACAATCCAAGAAGAAAGACTGTCGTAGGTGAGTAATACAAATGTACCCAAACATCAAAAATTACTTTTAACCATCAATTTTTAGATACAAATATCCTTGGCTTAAGTATTGCTACCAGAGAGGCGATTAAACAAATTAAACAAAATAACGTCCATGGTGTGTTCTCGGCCACATTGTAGTAAATACTCCAGGCCTGAATGTTTACCCTGCATCAAAATACGCAGTTACTGCCCTGGCCGAAACTCTGAGGCATGAAATAAACAGCCAAAACCTAAAAATAAAAATCACGGTATGATTTATTTTTTATTGCTTGAGAAAAATTACTTCTTTTTGTTTCGGTTAACAAATCATGTTTAATTATTTCAGAGTATCAGCCCTGGATGCGTAGAGACTCAATTCTTTGAGGTGTGTACTGGAAAAACAGCAAAAGAATTTGGTTTTAATAGCCGTGGATTAAAAGCCGAAGATGTGACTAACGCTGTGGTCTACGCCTTGTCGACGCCTCCTCACGTAAATGCAAGTATAATTTAATGAGTTCAATAAACTGAAAATTTATAAGGGTGTCAATTGATATCATTTTCAGGTTTCCGAAGTAACTGTACGCTTAATATAGTCTCATCGCTTAATTTAACTTTCTTATATTTATATACATAAAAAATTTATATTATCAATAAATATCAATAAACATTTTTCTTAGCAATGATATTATGAGTTAAAAAGTCTACTGAATTACTAATCCCATTGAAAAAATATTCCTAGAGCTACAAGCGAAATTGTCATAGCCCTCTTAATTTACGAGCTATAAGTTAATATCTAATTAAAATGTTGGCTTTTCAGATACCCGTGCTATCTCGGTTATCTGACAGATTTTTCAAAAGGTAGAAAGAAGGGAATCCTATTAAACTTTTTATATATGATGCTGTAGCGTAATCCATTTTTATTATAAATATTACTATTGAAATGTTTTGTGGTGTTTCTTAAGTGCAAATACTATTAATTGGTACCGCATAGTTTTAAATAAAAATGAGGGCGCAATTATTGGCGATTTTGCAATTAAATCAGGCGTCTGCCGGGAAAAATATTACTATAGGTTGCAAGTAAATTTGGAACTATTTGGTGCATTGTTTTCATATAAGGTTTATGTGTGCGATAATTTTTTTATGTTGATATTGTTTTAAAAAATAGTCCGTTTGTTATAGTTCGCGATTCTGTGCCTTTATGGTTTTAAGTTATCGGTTTCTTCAGTGGTTTAATACTACAAAACTCCGGCATATTACACTTTAAATATAATAAAAATCGATTTTATCATACGATGTTCTTGTGTCATTTCCCACAAATCACACACCACAAAAAATGAAATGAGCTGGTCAAAGGAATCGAATATTATTGTATTTTTATTGTTGTTGATTTAATGTTTGCTGATTGTCGTTTTACTGAATTCTCTAAAATTAATTTAAGCCGCCAGTAGAGATGTGAAAATTCGTACCAGAAACTTTTTTGTGTGACTCGCATCTCGAAAGTTAAATGTGCGACGGTTGGGGAGCTAACTGTGCTTTCAGTTTTATATAATAATACAAGATATTTTATTAGTGCAATGTTAGGTATATTAGTACTAGATGAGTGTGGTTACGAAGATTCGATGTTTCAACAACCAATAATTTGGCGAAATTGGTTTTAGCCAAACTAAACGATTTGATGATTGCTTTGGCGTGTTGTACCGTAAAAAGGCTTCGTGTTCCCTTACGTAGCATTATCTCGCTTAAATTTAAGCAATTTGAAACCTCCAATTGTTGGTGTCCTTTTCCATGAGTATAAAATGCACTGCAGCTCGATCAAGTAGAAATGCGAATCCGCAACAAAATACGCATGTTGAGGCCAGTGACATTTGGTATTTTTACTACGAAATGGACTAGACACGTGCGGAAGTACCTACAAAAATAATGGTCCGGACGGATGACAGAAAATTTGAATAATGATGTCCGGATCACTGCATTTGCTTACTAACTCAGACTATAACTTGCAATTTTTGTATTTTAAAATATCACTTATAAAGAGAGTACTACTCAATTAAGGCAAATGAGTGTTCTGTTTTGAGGTGTTTTTTTAAAGTAGGTAAAATTACCTAGGAAATTAACGTTATGCCAAAATTAATAATAGCCAATATGTTCTTGACAATTTGTTTGTATGCAAAAATATGTGCTTTTTCAGGTCATCGGGGGCTAGCAACTTTTATACTATATATATATATATATATATATATATATATATATATATATATATATATATATATATATATATATATATATATATATATATATATATATATATATATATATATATATATATATATATATATATATATATATATATATATATATAAGCTTCGTTCATTTACCTTAACTGTAAAGTATGGTTTTTGAGGAAGTATGTGGTAGACTCTAATTTTTTCACTCCTGAAGAAGTCAACAAATAAATTGACGAAATATTGAGTGTTAAAGAAAAAAGGAGCTTTCTATTTTAACCACGGACCGCTACCCGATATCCTTTGAATTCAAAATAGTTTAGTACGGTCGATATAAGAAGAAATTCCAAGTGTTTATATATATATATATATATATATATATATATATATATATATATATATATATATATATATATATATTTTAATCATTTATTACCTTTTTCGCAAAAACCATATAGCTATCAGATGCCATGTAATTTTGACATCATGTTATAGTTTATTTGAATATTTAATTTTAAATCTTGAAAAGTATATACAACTAGTGACTTGTTTTTTTTACTGAAACTGGTCGATTTTCGGGCAATCCTAATTCTAGCGAAAAATGAACAAAATATTGATGAAGTTGCTGCACAAATGAGGTAAGGTCTTCCTAGGCTCAGCGACCCTGACATTCCAAGAAGAAAAACTGTCTTTTATTGTATGTAAATTGTTTACCAACTCTCAATTAAGACATTGTGATTAAAATGAAGATATTCAATGAAATATGATTTTCGAAAATGCAAAAAATATGCCTGTTTTTTCATGGTGATTGCACTTTACAGATATTTAATATGGTACTTATGTACCACCAGATCGGAAAATGCAATAATTTTGTAAAATTAAGGATATTGAGATATTGTAAAAGAAAGGCCTCTTAACAGATTTGGGTTATTAATTAACATTGGTCAAAAAATTAAAATAGGAAAACGAAAAAAAATATTTTATTCAAATGAAACGCTCAATGGCTAAATTATCAAGGTGTTTTAAAATTTCACGAGTATTTAAATTTTTGTTTCACACAGAATATACACACTAGTGTTAGATAAATTTATTTGCAAGGCTAATTAATAATATACCTTACATCTTGCAAAATGTTTTTCCATAATTCCATACTAACAGTTTTCTGCCATTTTCTGAAAGCAATAATGTATTGCTATGCAAAAATGCAGAATTGAACACATCAAAATTACTTTATTACATACAAACCAATACAAAAAGTTAATATTACTCACAATGCAACAAAAACAAAAAAAACAACTTGCTTAAACTAATATTTCATTTCATCTCATTATTCATTTCCCTCAATTGCAATTTCAGTAACAGCTTGCACATAAAATGGCCCCTGTTTTACATAGGAATTAAGCCTTTCAGTTGTGAAATGATCAAATACAGGACTTAAAGCAAGTGATTGAATGATTTCATATTTCTTCTCCTTACATTCCTTTGCTGTTTCCACACTTCGATCCAATAAATATTCTATTAAACCTATATCAATAAATAAAATATTAAAGTGTTCTTAACAGATTGTGAATTATTTTCCTATACCTGGAGTATTCTTAATAGTTTCTTGACCCCAAAGTTGCCCTGCTACAGCTTTAAGAACTCCCAACCCTGCCAACTTTAGCTCCAAAAATGGATTTTTAGCATACCGCAAAACAATTTCCATAGGATTTTCTCCTAAGGCGTGGAACCACCTTTTTGTAGTCAGTTCAATGTTATCCTTATGTTCAGAGACATGTAAAAGATTTTCAATACAGTTTAAAGCTGATATTTTAAGTTCAGTTGGTAATGAACCTAGCATTTTTGAAATTGTTTTGATGACATCAAATATTTTGTTGCCTGAAAGCCAACATAAGTCTAAATGGAAAAACATATATGAAAAAGTTTACCAGTGGAATATAGAGCATTTTTTCCTTGGTTACTTTCCCCAATATGACCTAGAGTATCCAGAACAGTTGCAACAATAGTTAAATTATCACTTTCAATACTGTCAAACAAGTAGTCATAAAATCGGGGGTATTTTGATAGGACTTCAAGGGGACGTTTGTTTGCTACATTGCCAAAAAACTTTGCAATTCCTAAAATGAATTTGAAAATTACACATTAAAATTTTCACTGGATGCGTGAAATACTCACCAGGCTGACTAAGCAGCAATGAGACATCTTTATCCAAATCAGATATACAAATAATTGAAAGAAAATTGCTTAAAATTTTATTTTCATCAAGGAAAGCATATCCATGGTCACACATTCCCAGAGGGGTTAGAATTTCTACAATATTCATTCTAAATAAAACATCGTTTGTATTGAGCTCTTCTATAATACATGAAATAAATCCGATTTCTCTAAGTTTATTAAAACTATGTTCAGATATGACAGAAATTTTCACCAATATCTAGAAAAAACAATACATTTTCAAAGCAAATGTGCATTACGCAGGGACTTACTTCATAAATTCTAAGACGTACAACTTCACTGATGGCCATACAAGCATGAAAAGCATCCATGATGTCTGGTTTCGTTATACTATGAATCCCTGGAATAGTAGTACCTAAGGTAACTATAATATTGGAAGCCTTTTTGGCAACTCCTAAGTTGTTGTCACCTATGCAGGTTATAACATTATTTATTAGAGATATCCGCTTGGATACCTCCACTAATGCTTCTTCGCTTATCATAGACTTTTCGAGTTCTGTTAAAGCCATCAGTTTAACTGGGCTATAAGGATGACTCAACATTTTTTCTAGGGGTGCTGCATATTTCGAGGCAGTTTCCCCTACAGTCAAATTACTCATACAAAGTGTCAACACTTCACATGCTAAATCTATTTGATCACTGAAAATAATTGTAACAACACCACTGACATAGCGCTTTTGAGGTTAACTTACTTGTTGGAATCATCTAAACAATCGAAAATTAGAGGTAACTGCAATCTATCCACTACCTTTACCGCTTCGTCACGAGGAAGTGCTATTAGATGATCTTTCAACTCGCTTAAAGTCGAAATTCTTAATTCTTCTTGAAGAAGTTTGGATAAATTTTCCGAACACCATTCTTCGCGCAAAGCCATTTTGAAATTGACAGTTGTGAATCAAGTTAAGTTAATACGATTCACAAACACTGTTGAGCGAGACTACTAAGATCATTTGCCCATTGCCGACTTCCGTCGAGGATTTTCGCTTATGGTAAATGACCAACACATACGAAGAAGAAAAATAACCAAAAAATTAGCTCAGCTAGCAAAAAACAGTTTTGACCGATACCACAAAAAACCGGCATCCCCCCGCTACCACCCCCGACCATCCGGGTCCATCCGGCCTCCATACCGGCGTGAACGGCTAAAACAACGGGGCCGGCGGAACTTTTACACTTAAAACAAACACCAAACACGGCCGAAACAGAGTCACACAAATTGAAAACCGACACCAAAGATTTTTCGAACGAATACAGTGGATTCTGCTAGGAGCGAACAGAGGTCAAATCGCCGCGTGCAATGCTCCACCACAGAATTTTGTGAATCAAGTTCAATTCAATTCAATGATGCGTTTCACAAAAAACTGTGAATCAAGTACAAGTACATTATACGTTTCACCATAACTATAGGGCAAGACTGTTAGGATTATTTGCCCATTGCCGACTCACGCCGATGATTTTCTTTTTTGGTCAATGAAGACAAAAGTAGACATATGGCCAATATTTGTTCAGCTAGCAAAAAACAATTTTGACCGATACCAAAAAAAAAAACCGGCATCCTCCCGCTTCCGCCTTGGACCATCCGGGCTCATCCGGTCTCCATACCGGCGTGAACGGCTAAAACAGCGGGGCCGGCAAAACTTAAACACTTAAAAACGAACACCAAACACTACCGAAACAGACACGAAAAAAGGCCGATACCAAGGTTTTTACCCAAACACCTGGAGTTGCGTCAATCACAATTGATTCGGTCACTGTGATTCAATCACTTCATAAGATCGAACGACCGAATCCCGAATACGATTCATTTGAATGGTTTAAGAATTAAATGCATGCATGAGACACGCCACGGAAAAGGAATGGGAGTATTGTTAAAACTATTCTATAGCGACATCGATCGCTATTGCTTATGTGTTAAATTGAATATTGAATGAAATATCTATTTCTACACAGGTAATTTAATTTAAACAAATTAATATATTACTGGTACAACCCAATACGTAGCACCTATTTTGATAAAATCATGATTCAATAAAAAGCAGAACATAGCTAAATATTGTCCTAACTAGAACAGAAAATATAATATATTAACACAACAATAATTCAAATTCAAATGAATCTGAATCGGTCATTCAGACTGTTCGGAATCAGTGACTATTGCCGCTTATGTTGGCATAAAAAAGTATTGAAATGAACGATTAATTGAAATGATTCGCTGCTTTTCGAAATCTGATTGATCCGGTCTTCGTAAAATGAACGATTGACACAACACTAATGGGACCGAACGGAGGTTATACCGCCGCGAGCTATGCTCCACCACAGAATCAAGTTAAGAATTTAACATTCTTCTTCTTTCGTCGTTATTCAATTAGTGAAAATTGCTAGGATCGATTGACCAATTTAAATCAGAATTTAAATTAATTTCACAGTAAAAAAGGTCGTTTATGTCCTGTATTACTATACCGATTATTTAATATATCGTTGGTGATTGTTTCAGAAAAGCATAAATTAGCTCTTAAAACAAACAAAATTGGAATTCGTAGTTTATAATCACGACTTTTCCCTCATTTCATTTAATACGACAGACTTTTCTTGGCGCTTAAACCAGACGAACTGCTTTCGGTATGAGAACAAGAAATATTTTAATTGGATTTTATTTAAAAATTTTTGGCTATTTGCCAACAATTTTTCATTCCGTAAAAGTCAAAGACTCAGTCTCAGACTCAGACAAGTCACTTTATCTAACACAAATATCATTATTATGTTTAGGTAGGACGACCAGAAATCGCCTCTGGTATTGAAAGACCGGTAAACCGAGAGTTTATTTATTTGTATCAGTTTTACGGGAGCGCGTCCTACAGCAGTGACGTCACCTAATTCACTAAGCGTAGGTCGTATAGAAATAGGAATTTTCTTGTTTTTGTTTTGACTTTTAATCCAATAAATTTAAAAAAATATCATCCTGATTTTGCTCTATATGCAACCTACAATTATTCATACCAACATTAATAAACAAATATCTCTGTATAAGACGCCGCTCCTGCTGAGCCAATATGAATTACGGTTATTATCGGGTAGCTTTAAAAATTTGGTTTGGACCTTGAGGCCAGGGAGGTCTTTATTTCAAATCATTCTCATATTTGCGCATACGTGTACATAAGATCTTGCATGTCGCAATTTGTGGCATGATAATATTGTAAATTTCTAGATTTAATTTATTGTTGGGTTAACCTGTTTGCGATAAATCTTAAAATCTGGCTCCCCTGTTGCAAAAGTCCTTGGCAAACACTGATAAACACTTCCAGTAATTATTGATTGTTATTACCTGTATAAAATCTCCCACGAAAACTCCACCGTTCTGGTCGATGGGGGCCGTCCAGCAAAATAAATACTTTTTGTTAGTTCCGGTTCCGATTATATCAGAAATGAGTGTATTACTTTTCAATTGGCGGCAAAATTCTAGACATAATTTCTTTATGATTTAGGGAGACTCTTACAAAGTTTTATCCCCAAATATGATAATAATGCTACTATTCGCTATCCGAGAAAACTCTATGAATGGGAAAGAAAATATTTTTCCATATGTTTTCCTAATGATAAGTTAACAGGCACTAAATTCAACCGAACCTTAGAGATATCTTTTATGCCTACCCAGTACGATATTTATCATTTACCTTCCTTACGAATTGTGGTATATTAATGGAAAGAAAGTATCTCTATTAATTTGGTTTCAACTTTTTACTCTTTTTTTACCTTTTTATTTTCATATTATTTATCGAATTATTCTTTTGGCGATAAAATGTATCTATCTACTTTGGTGCCGAAATAAAAGTGGTTCTAGCCCATGACAGTATCAGAACAAAAACATAACAACCTATTTTAGAATAATGTCTATACACTTACCAACGCCAATATTTGCCTTCTTTACCTAGTTGCTTTTTTAACTGAACCTATAACCTTCCTTATTTCTGTACTCTTTTTACCTTTTTACCATATTTAAATATTCGGCTTTACAATAAATACATTAAATAAATATTTATTAAATTTTATTACTAATCATCAATTAGGTAGAAATGGAACCTCAAAATGTAAAAAATTCTAACTCAAGTTCAATTAACAAATATACTAAAATTGTTGATGCTTAGTTATATTATTGGTTACACCCAATTTAGCGTTATTTAATATAAAATATTTTAAAATAAATAATGAATTTCTCGGTTGTATGCATGGCAAATAATTTTGTACAAAAGGACTTATGACTGCGGATTATGCTATAGACCAAGAGCATATGAAATGAAATACGACCCACACTTAGAGGTAATTTACTTTTTAAAACGAATTGAAGCTAGAGTTATATGTGTGTGCGGGATCTGTTCCTGTTTACGTTACGTACGCGAAACGTCTTGCAAAAGTATTTTAATATACCCATAACAATAGTTGAGGATAATTTTTGGTGTCGCAGAAATATACCAAATAATTAGGCAATTACGTCGTAAGTAATTTGAAACTTAGTAATAAAATTTGGACTTCCATCCATTAGCAAAGATTAAAATTTCAACAAGCGAAGAGCATGTGTAAGTCTAATTTTGTTACAAAACATACTTTAAGTTTAAATGGTTCCGGCTAGTAAAAGTGAGTAAGGAAAGAGCATCCAATTTTTTGAAACGTCTAAAGATTTTTGGTACAATTATGCTCAAAATAAGGAAAAAATATCGTCAACATTTTGCTTAATTTGCTGCAAATCTTATTGCAATTTTATGATTGATTATTAGATTATTGTCTTATCGATACAAAAATATTCACTTATTTACCAGCCAAGGGATACTGTCAATAGGACAAAAAAAATAACAATTTGCCTTATTCTGAAAAAGTTTAAAGTTCTGCCTTCTGACTTTACATAAAACTCTAAAGCTTCACTTTGAGGACTTCATTTATACAAAGTAATTTAAAACAACCGTTAAAAAGAACTTTCGCTGCAAATTGACCAATACAGTTATGACATAACATAACCGCTTTTCTAACTTTTTCAGGAAGTAACGCCTAATCTGAAGAAAAAATATGCCGTTCAAGGATTGTCGTCAGATTTTGAAATCGATTGGTCAAACTATGTGGGAAAAAATAGTTAGGCTGATGGTAATCAAACTTGTATTATTTATATAATTATATAATTAAATAACAATTTCTTGATTTTGTAGTCTTACTTAGGAGAAAAGTTATCTGAACTCTTGGTTGTTTGTGGAACCTGGCTATCCGCTAATATATCAGATGAAATTATCACTGTTGATGGATATAATTTCATAAAACATGATACTCGGACTTGCGACCCAGGAATGATTGGAATGTACATAAGACTGGATCTAGATGTTGACTTGGTGAACGGCAGTACCGAAGATGTGGTACAGCAAGTATGTACTATCGCAAACAGTACCTGCTGTATCTAGTGTAAAAAAAAAGTAGTTCATCAATATATCTCATTACTAGCAAGCGATTTGTTGGCTATGACTTGCATTAAAATCGACCAAAAAGGTTTTGAGCTATACAAATTCGACTCTCACCATTGGCTATTTCCATTCTATTTATTCTTGAAGGTTTACTTCAAAAGTTTCTTTAAAACATCATCATCAGCTTGCAACACGACTCGCCTCAAGCGAGGGTAACCATTGATGGATACATGTAAAAGTAGAATTTATGGAAGAGGATAAATTATAGGGAGTTTTATCATTATACAATTATGCAAAGAAGAGTGGGACTTTCATTCTAAAATCATTGGTCAATATTTTGATTTATCCTTAATTCACCAATAAAATTATTATATTAAAACAAACAGTTATAATTTCCCGGAGATGTAAGAGAAAGCTTCTTTGCATGATATGATTCCAAAGAGCTGATAACTTTTACACTTCACTTGAATCCCTTATTTGGGTTTTGCACGGTTTTCGACCACCCATTGATTCTGTTATTTAGTTATTTAGAGAGTTGCTGCGTGAGATTTTTTGATTTTTGGTTCTGTGGAGTTGTATAATTTTTAGGTCATATATGTTATTATTATTATTGCTATTTAAAAAAATAGATGAAAGATTTGAGAGAAATGAAATGAAAGGTTTATGTAGCCATCATTGTAGCTAAAAAATTGAATCGATATTATTTCGAACATAGTCAAAATAGTCATTGTCAAAAAAGAAGACATTTAAATGAACGGCGTGTCCCATTTTTTGTGACGGGGTTCCTCTCTTATTAAGAAAGCTCGTGTGTTGAGGCTTTCGTGACCCCGGGCTGCTTTTTTTTTTAATGAAAAAAATCCCATAGCTAACCTTGAATTTGGATGATATTGACAAATTTGCTTTTTTGGACACTCTATGTAGAAGAAAAAGTTAAAACTGGATTGGATAGGGTTTTTTAAATAGGATCCAGTGGGGTGGCCAGTTTTCTTTTTCCTGAAATACTTTAGTTGCCAAAGACTCGTGACATTTCTTAATTATTATTTTAATTTCTGTTATCTCTTCCTTTCGTTATGGCCCATGTTAACTCAAATACCTTTAATATTTTTTTATGACTAGCCTATAGAAAATACAGATGCAGGACGTCCACATAGACCAGAATATTCAAATTCGTTTTCTTCAAACGTCGGTCTATTATATTTGTTTGACTTCGGCTTCTCGAAAGGTCCACTAAGTTTCGCTGTAACCTCTCAAACGTGCTTTCGTCAAGTTTTCGCCTTTTTTAAATTAAAAACACCAACTGAACAAATTCATGCTTATAATGGACCATAAAAGAAGGAGGAGAAAGACAAATTAAAATAATAATTTCGAAATGTCAGGACTCTAATCTAAAACATATTAGGAAATAGTTTAAGAAGAAAACTGATAACCGCACTTGGCGAGAGTCAAATTTCTATTTTAATATATATTTTTCCACCTACACAAATATTGGCAATGCAATACTAATGTCAATTTTGACAACAGAACAGAACAACGGAAAATGAAGATTCAAAATTATATAACCGCCGGCGTAACCTATCAAAAGGTAGGGGGGTCATTTAAGTATTGGCTATCGAGTGGGGCTGCGGACTAAAAGCATGCGAGACAGCGCGTTTGCATTTCGATCTCATTTGAATTAAGTAATTAACGGCAAAGTTACCGCTTTTCGCGAATGAAAGTGCCGCACATCGGGAGATGATCGACTGGTCGGAATAGCGAGAGTGACGCTGTTGACTTTCATTGGAGGTTTGTCTTGAAATTTTTTGTTATCGTGGATGATAATTACGCTCTAAATGTTTCGTTTCAATTCAATTCTATTGCTTTTTGTTACTGAATAACTAGATATCGAAATTTTTATGCCCAATACTAAATTTGATCCCAAAGATATTTTAATCCTTTATTTTAAATCATTATTAACATTTTTTGGAAAATACTTTGAAGGACTTTGCGGTCACCTCGAATTTCCAATCATCTCCGTTACCTGAAATTATTGGATATCCAGAATGTTTACCGTGCTCCCTATACGTATAATATAACAAAAATAAAGAAATTATAGTGAATTAAAAGAATTCAGGGACTAATTTCTAAATCCGTCAAAAACCTTTTGGAGTTTTACTTTTTTAAAAATTGAAATATAAATTCAATTTCATTTTATTTATCGTTTATTATACAAAATACTACATAATAATACAAATATTCCTATAACAAGGATCTATAAAAAGTAATGCGTACTTAGTGCTACGGTCGATTCTAACAGAACACTTACTGAAAAAAAAATAGGTAAAATAAAACAAGATGTTAAAAATCTCAATATTTTCACTTCCAATATCCAATCATAATAATCATTTTATTATTTTATTTACTTAAAAATGTAAAATACACAATGTTAACATAACGACCAAATGTTTAGTTAAACCACGAAAATAAGCATGTTTTGGTAAACAAGATTTTAAGTTTTGAACCGATTTAAAAAAAATAGTTAAAATTAATAAAATATTGAGGACATCAAAATTACTAAACCTAAAGTTTTTTAGAAAATAACGTAACTATGTTTTGTTTTCATTTTCGTGGACTTGATTATAGTTTTATACATCAGCTGTCAAGTTTAACTGCAGTTCGCTCTCGTATGAGAAAGTGAAAATAAAGTGACCGGTTCAGACATTAAGATTACTTTGATAAATTTAAATGTAAATATGAGTATTAAGATTGGTAATTCGTACATCGACCTACATTAACGACAGTAACCATTTAAGGAAAATTATATGTTTTTACCTTTGTATTTGAAAGCGCAAGTTTACTGCTTTTACTGAATGTTTTATATATACATAAGGAAAAACTAAATCAAAAGCTACTGCGATTTTATGATTTTTTTATTTATAAACTACATATTTAAAAATTACTTTGAAAAATTTGCGAATTTTTTTGGTATACCGTTTTTGGCGAATTTAAACTTTTACTTAAAAAATGCCTGTTGTAACAACCGCATTTTTATTTCCTTTCGATACAAAAACCAACCAAACCTCTAAAACTTAAAATACACTCTAATCCAATTCAAATATTTTAAAACATCTTATTTCTTATTAAAAACAAGTGCAACTTTCCCTTTAGCGTCCGTACAGTTATGTTTTTTTATGTTTTTTTATTGAGTCGATGGCGAAAAAGTGAGAAATCTCGACGCACATTTGCATTTGTCAGGACCAACACAACCCTTATGTATAGGTAGTTATTGACTTATTTATTGTTAAATATCTTTTTAACTTGGATAAACGGTTTCGTAACATACAATAACAAATTGAATAAATCATCAAATAATAAAATGAAAAAAAAACATGAAACTATTTATTTCCGGTGGTGCGGTAGAAATTTAACATGTTCCTAAATTATGTTTTTCATAATTTCTCAACCGTTCATTTTTTTTATCTCAAATTACTCTGTTAAATTTAACTCAATTTCCTCTTGTAATATTATTTAGTAGAAGTATAATTATACCCGTTGTCCAAATAGTGTGTCAAAGTACTTTTTATAAAACTTCCTCGTCTAACCAAAACTAACAAGTTTCAGTTAAGCTTAAGCGAAACGTTAGCAAGTTCGACTCAACAAAAACCGACACAGAAGGAATTCAGAAGTTTCGTAAATAGTATTACAGTAGCCTGTGGAAGTTTCTTTGGAAAATTAGGTGCATTTCATTTATTATTTGTTGAATAATTAATCCCAAAGTTATAGATAAGACTAAAAGTTTTATAGACCTCGTCTTTAACACTAAATTTAAAATATCCCCACAGAAAATAGTCCTTTGTTTGATTACGAGATCTAGGTGGCCCTCTAATCCTACTACCTCTTCCTATCCACCGTTCAGAAAATCAATGATTTAAGTAGTTCGGACCTTAATGGGCGTGATGTGCAGGAGCACATTTTTTGTCTCACTTCGTTTGGAATAGTTGGTAACATTGCATTCGCAACATATTAATGGAAAATGTCTACACATTTTTACGAACAAAACTCCGAATATTTTTCAAATTTTGTGAAAAACTATAAATAGTGTTTTTAGTCACGTCTTTAATTAATTAATTAATTTGTTGTTAATTGCAAATAGCAACTCATGCATTAACTTTTCGATGGAAGAAATTGTCGACATGATTTTCATACTGGGATCTAGCGACAAAATGCGTCATGCACAGGATCCCGATAGAGGCAGCCATCTAACAGAACTCTTGAGAATTTGGCGAATCGTTTTACTCGAACTGAAAGTGTTGCTTAGGAAAAGAACAAAAAGGTGAAGACTATAGTCAAAGAGGAAAATGAATTTCAAGTATTACGTAGTGTCATCGTGCATGCACGTGTACGACAAATGTCCCATAATTTATTGCCAAACAATTAAATGCATCCTTATAATCAAGAACCCAATGAAAATGATTATCAAATTAGATCAACATGTTGTGCGTGGGAATAGGAAATAATTCTTGATGATTTTTTCGAATATGTTTTTGCGGATGAATCGACATTTCATAAAAACGGTTGGGTTAATAGGCATAACTTTTATTATTATACTTCAACAGACCCCATTGTATGATGACACAGAGTTAAATGTTTGAGGTGGAAAATACAGTAAATGAGCAAAGGTTGCAAAATATGTTAAGAGCTATTACAAACGAAGTGAGGCAAAAAATGTGCTCATGTACATCAGGCCCATCAAATTCCGAACTACCTAAACTATTTATTTCCTTAACGGTGGATAAGAGGTGGCACGATTAGAGGACCACCTAGATCTAGTGACCAAACAAAGGACTATTTTCTGTGGGGATGTATTAAAGATCAGGTCTATAAAACACCCTCACAACAAAAAAGGACGTGAAACAAAGGATAAGAAAAGTTTGAAATGATAGCGAATACTGCCCAATCGTTAAAAGACCGTGTTAGCGCGTATATCGAAAGTCTGTGGGAGACATTTTGTGCAATAAATAAAATGAAACTTAATTAATCAGTTCTTTTTTATTTTGTGGTTTTTTAGCATTATTAATATTAAATTTTGAATATTATCCGTAGAGTAAAATACTGTTTAAATTGTTTCTCTAGCTGCGCAGTTCATAATTTTATTTTTCCGGATTTAATTTTGTATTAACATGCTGCTAACATATGCTCTTATCTGAAATAATTATACTTAAATTGATTTTTAAACGAAAATTGATATTTTTCATTTTCATTCACGCTGTATAAGCAATTTGAACTAACTTCAAGACAAGTATATGATAAATGACTTTATAAAATTGTTGACATAATTAAATTACAACTGTCGGAGTCCAAAATATAATATATTAAACATAGAGAATTTTTGACTAAAAAATGTCCATAATTCCAAAAACACTCTATCTATTAATTTAATAATATTCATTCCATTGAAAAATATCTGAGTTCCCATATATTTATGAACCGCCCTATATATTTGAAAATAACTTTAAATTGTTTCTTTTAGTTTCATCCATAACTTTTGTATTTAACATATTTCTCAAAAACAAATAATAAACGAGATATATTACTTTGAGTCACTAAACTTTAGTTTTCAAATACCTTTGGCAAGTTTTAGGTAGTGATTGCTTTTAACAAACCATTGCATAAGGAAATTACCTGGTATTATTACCAGTAACTTTATAATATTTTTTTTATTTCAAGGATTAACAAAGAGTGTCAAGGTACTGGTAAGGTAATCTAATTGAAAATATAATATACCCCAGCGTGCCGCAGCGTGTACTTGAATTTTTTTTTTACTTGATAGCTTTTTAATTGCACACACAGAAGCCAATTACCACAATTACAGATTATGATCATCACCTCTTTGCCACATCTAAACGCGCATATTACAAATAAAATGAATCAAAAAGTACTTAATAAAAGTGATGAAGGTGAAGTCAGTCTAATCGGTATGTAATATACTATACAATTTACGACAAATATTTATTCATTTTAAAAGCAAAAAAAATATCCAGATTTTTTACGGGTGGAAAAGTTGCCTGCAAGCAGGAATTTTGGATTAATCTTATTAAATGTGCTAATAAGCATTGAATAGTGTGGCGAGACAATCATTTTCGTATTAATACCAGTTCTCCGAACGTACAATATTGCATTTTTCTAAAGTTGAATAATCCACTGCATTATGTAGGTAACTTTAATATGAATCCTCAAGATTTTTTCAAGTAATTTGACTTTTGTGAAAATTTGCTTAATTTAACCAATTTAAATAGAAGTTATAAACACACACAACTTTTTGTAGTAAATGTTTTATTAAGAAACTTAAATTATAAAATTAATTAATATTTAAAATCCTACACACATATAAAAGTAATATAATAATATTAATACATATATCACATATTAGATATTGTATTCTCTGAAATATTTTTAGTATTACAGAGGTCTTATATCTAATGATTTTAGTAACTATGAAAACTGTGAAATTCCCTTTTTCGGTAAATTTGCAATTTTGGAAATATCGGTAATAGCTTGTTATTCTATTTTTATTGAATATTGGTTTTTACAAGACTATTCTAGTCTGAAATACATAATTATGCAACAAGCGTCAATAAAGTGTCACTTAAAGACGTTAGTTTCGTTAACGACTGTCGCGAGTCACTTTTGTTTTTCAGTTCTGATAGTCACGCCACAGGTCAGTCAGTGAATGTCTTCATGCCGTATTGAAAAAAATGCACCCAGAAACAACTCAGGGTCGTAGAAAAAGTATACATTGATAAACTTCTTCAGTCGCTCGATTATTAAACAATCGACCACTCGTACCAAATCAACCTCGTGACTGAAATGGTATTTATTTATTGCATAATTTCGCAAATTTTGTGTAGACATGTCTATTTGTCTTCAATATCAGCTTTATGTTGATTCCATATTTGATTGATTGATATAGATTTGTTACAGACTAGGAGAGGGAACCTTCAGCTAAATTTTATATAAATAAAAACTTTCTTTATTTAAAAAATCGATAAAGCATTTTTAGTAGAAACATGTTTTGACTCGTATTCTAAATACTGCGAGGTAACTAAAAAACGAACACTTCTTAAATATTTGTGTGTCATAATTAGCGTCAGTCAATGTCACTTATTCTTACATTGCTACTAAAACAAAAAACATTTAATCACTTTCGAATGCCCTATTATTCTATTTTACTGTCCCTATAAATAAATAAATTAAAACAAAAGAAATAACTTCAACTGATTCGAGTCCTTTATCGTATCTTCACACACTCTACTTTCTATTTCTGATGTTCAAGTTCTTCCTGACTTTATACTTTCTCTACTATTTTTCTTATTCTGACTGTAATGCGTATATACAAACAGAGCTTATAAAGTTGACGCATGCTCAGAAAATTTCAAATTTTTGGTCTTATGCAGATTTAATGCAAGTAAAATCGTTTTTGTGACTGTTTCAATTTTATATAACACATTACAATAAGAGAAAGAAAGCAAAATTCAACCAAAAAATCGGCCTACAAGTTACCGAAAAAATAAGCCGTACTTAAACGGTGCAGCGGCGGTTAATGCGATTCACCTTGTGCGATTATTCAAATTAAAATAATTCTCGGCTTTTCTGGTCAATCAAATGGATTATTACCGGTTCGCTTTGTGCCACGCATTTTAAAAACTTAAAGGAAGTGACCAATGCTATCGAAGCGGTATTGATGGTCTCGCTTTGTTTGGGTTAATGAAGAAGGTTCCTTAAGAATCATCGCTATTAAGAAACTCATTGAAAATGGTCACGTTACGATTATTATTTATGTCGTATAGTATTTAAGGAAAACGTTTGGAGTTAGTAGTCTGTTTTAAATTTAAACAAGGTAAATTGGCCACATAATGGAAACTTTGTTTCTCACTTGCTTTATAGCAACTACTTATTGAACGCAATCTCCAATTGTGCCCATGTTCATAGGAATTATTTTCCACATATACCTGAGAGTAATCTGCCCTTGGTTTTTGCCACTTCAACTCTGAATCGCTTGATGTTATGTGTATTGTAATCACGTCAAGTGGATGAATATTTAATTTTCCAATTATGTATAATTATTATATATATAACAATTATGTATATAAATTATTTATGTATAAAATCCTACAAATATTATAACAATGTATACAAAAGTATCGCAATTGTGATTCTTACCTAGACGAATCTTTAAAAAAATAATCAGAAAGTTGACATTGTATAAGTTGTTGATGCTTAATGTCAAAAATAAAATTTACTAATGAAAATAATCAGATAAATAGAAAAATACCAAAACCGGATCGACTTTTGTCGTATAAATAAGAGGTTAGGATGTTTATTTCAGCAGTTTTGTTAACAATAGTAAACAACCTGAAATTAATAACATTATGCCTGAAGGATTTCAACAAAGCAAGCAAATAAAACGCCTTAAAACGCATCCATCCATCTTTACTAAGGAACCAAGTTGTCATATGTTCTTATCAGAATCGACAACTTTGCATCATTCAAAACATTTTGATTCAACGAAGCAGACTCGAAAGCACTAATATGAAAATTTTCATCAACGAAAATTTTTTCGATTTCCATAAACATCTAATCGTTCACCAATCACGTGGATAATTACATAAAAGAATCGATGAAAAGGTGTAAAAATACTAACAACATTAAAGGGGGGCGCCCTCGCGGGCTTCCAAGCACTAACCACATAAAAAAATAATTTAAAGTAAATCTATTTTGTTTGTTTTACTACATATTAAATACGTGTGATCAATTTTAGGGGCACGGACAAACAAACATGGCCAAAACAGTTTCTACCAAAGCCAAAAACCAGAAGGAGGATACCAAGGACCAGAAAGGAGGAGAATCGCCGACTTATACGACATGGCGCGAAAAGTACAACTTCCTAAAGGAAAACATCACCGTGGAGCCCATGTTGGCCTGTTACATTATACCGAGTGTATTCGCTAGTCTTGCTACACAGAATCTAAATTTGGAAAAGGCTTGCAGAGTAAACTTGGGATATCCTGATTCGGTGTGCGACGCGCTTAGTGCCAGACAAACGGGTGAGTTTATGATGTACATCATTGATCTAAATACTACGGCAAGGGATGAGATACTTTAATTCCAATTGTTTGATGGTTAGTACGTGGCCTCTTTCTTTGTGCTTAAATGTAAATCACAATAAAATGAGGTTTCTGGACTCTTCATTATTCCTTTATGACGCAGAATTATTAGAAAGAACACAAAAAATAAAATTACTTTTTATTGCAAAAAATATCTAAGTATTTTTTTAAATCTACACCCCTATAAATTATGGCATTTTTGAATCCAACCGTTTAGTGTTTATAACTAAAATTTTAACGTTTTCGGGATTTCTTAAATGAATAATCCTAAAATGAATTTGAGTATGAGATTTCTATTAATTATTTTGATTATATTCCCCAAGTTCTCCAAATCATATCGCCCTACCCTTAAGCTAATCAATTTTCAAGCAAGTGACACCATAACAAAATTAAAATAATAACATTTAAAAATCAGACTTTGTAGACCAAGCCGCCAAAATAGCAGTATATACAATTCGGATCGATTGCATAAATTTATATTTCAGATACCTACTTCTAAAGTATTAACATTAAAACTATAAAATCCTGTACCATATGGTTCCATTTCGTTAGAAAATTACAAATTGTTCTCTTTAACTTTTTTTTTGAATCATTTAATTGTTTTTGTTGTTTGGTAAACTAATCTAAAGTCTAATTATAATATACGAATTATAAGCAACCTTCTCAGTCTTACTCAGTCTGTGTCTGGAATATGTACAGTGTATAGTTCGTATATTGTACACTTCCTAGACCCATATTCATATTCAAAAAGGTGTCTGTTTAAAAAAAAAAAACAAGCAAAAAAAAATTCATTCTTGTATGAAGGGTCTCTTTTGTACAATAAAAATCCTTTCTATCTCGGCAATTTCCATACATAAGACAAAATTTGTGTTATAAAGCATTTTTATAGTTTTCTATGTAATATCCATTTAATTTATCTACTACTTTATTTACATGACAATCCCATTGTTCGATCTTATTGGTAGAGGAATATTTTTCGGGTAAATTGTATCATTTAGTTTTTTTTTATTATTATAAATTGGCCTAACCTCTAGCCTGGTTCAGCCAGGCTATTTTTTTGCGACGCTATGCGCGTTTCTTTTTTTTGAAGAGACAATCGACAAAAAGGAACGAGAACGGCACCTAGTCAGTTGCGATTAAACAAGCAAGGTAGGATTAACTTTCCGCGTCGATACAAAATTTGGTCCATACGAGTCGGATACTAGTTTTCGGAAAATAATTGTGTAATCGGTGACCAAAAAAATTCGTTTTCTTTTATATATATATATATATATATATATATATATATATATATATATATATATATATATATATATATATATATATATATATATATATATATATATATATATATATATATATATATATATATAAGAAAACGAATTTTTTTGGTCACCGATTACACAATTATATATATATATATATATATATATATATATATATATATATATATATATATATATATATATATATATGTATATCTATATATATATATATATATATATATATATATATATATATATATATATATATATATATATATATATATATATATATATATATATATATATATATATATATATATATATATATATATATATATATATATATATATATATATATATATATATATATATATAATATATATATATATATATATATATATAATTTCTTTCTTTTCTATTTCGCCGAGGCATTAGCAATTTTGTATGCTAAGATGGCGTTGCAATAATTTTTTTTCTTTCTTTCGTTTTTAATATATCTGAGTTTGGATATAGGAAAGGGAATTTGTTTCGAGCAAATCCATATGACTTCACTTTTACTTTGAGAGGCATTCTAACCGGGTTTAAATCTTGACTAGCCTCATTTTCGGATTCTTAATTTAACCTAAATAACTGATTACATTTTATCGGTAATTAGCGGCGGCAATTTAGAAAATTTCGGGTCTTTTTTTGTCCATTTTGTTATTGGAAAATGGCACCCACTCTTTCGGCTTCCAATACTGAAAAATTAAATAGATATATCGTTCAAAGAACTACTTGTTTAAATAGTATTAAAGAGGTATACTCCTTAGCTGTAAAAGCCAAGGCTGATGACTCGCACATTTATGAACTCAAGGGTAGATATGAAGATACATTGAAAGAATATACAAAATTTCAAGAACTTCTTAACAATATCTTGATTTTAACTTCTGTTTTGAAGGAACAAGAATTTTTACAACAGGATGAAGTTAGGGCCACTACTTCAAAGATATTTTATGGGTTCAAAGCGATTTATTTCGAGCTTGTTGGTACTGGTTCTTCGTCCGCACCCATTTCGCAATGTACAAAAAAATCTATCAAACTGGAGCCTTTAGGCGTAAAGGTTTTTTCGGGTAACTATAAAGAGTCGAGAACATTTCTTGACATGTTTAATAGTTGTAAATTTAGGTATTTACTTAAGTATTTGGAGGGTGAGCCTTTAGCTTTGGTTCGCTCTATGCCTCTTACGGACGATAACTATTCTATTGCATATAATGCACTGGTTAAAAAATATGAAAATCATAGACTGATTGCTACACATTTTTGGAATGAAATTTACTTTTTTGCTCCATTGAAAAATGATGATAATATTACTGAGTTGAGCAAACTCTTGAATACATTTTTCAAAAATTTGGAGGCACTCGGAAACTTGCAATACCCAGTTGATCAATGGGACTTCGTAAACTTTCATTTGCTTTTGTATAAAATTCCAAGCAACACGCGTAATAAATTCGAACTTGAATTTGCTAATAAAACAAGCGATAGTAGTAGTGGAACTTCGAAAGGACAACCGTCATATAAAGACCTGTATTCATTTTTGGATGCGCAACTTCGGGCTATGCAGGCTTCATCTGCAATACAGGTGGCGGTTAAAAATAATTTCAAAACTTCATATCCAAATTAAGATGAGCGCGCCTCGTTTAAGAAACCACAATCAACGCCTGGTGTTTTCGTAGCCGGTGGAGTTGTTTGTTCGTTATGTAGGGCGGAACATTCTTTAGCGTCTTGCAGTAAATTTTTGGGGAAAACTCCTTATGCCAGATTTAATTTTATAAAAGTAAAAAATTTATGTCTGATTTGTTTTGGAGCACATGTTGTTAAAGATTTTACTGTGTCACAGATTTGTTGGTGTGGCTGTCGCCACAATGCTTTGCTACACTTTTCAAAAGGTAATAGTAGTACCAATACTTCGGGTACAGAACTTGCATCGCCAACGGGCGGACAAAACGAAGATCAAGATACGTTGAATAATTGTGATAGTGTTATTCCTGTCGCAACATCGTTAGTTTCCTCTTCCGATGTAGTGTCAATTTTTCCTACGGCTGTTGTTCACATTAAGAATTTTAGAGGGGAATTTGTGTCAATTCGTGTTTTGTTTGACTCCGCTTCAGCGGCCAATTTTATTTCGGAAGATTGTCTGATGCGTCTTGGGCGGCCTCGCGAACAGTGTAAAACTCATATAGCGGGCATTGGCAACCAAGAATTCGTAACGGCGAAGGGGGTTGTTAATTGTATTGTCAGGCCTCACTTTTCACCAGAACCACAGTTGGCTTTAAGGGCTTTGGTCCTTCCAACAATTTGTTGTCAATTGCGCATATGCCGTACTTTCATACTTTTGAACTGGCCGATAGGAAATTTTGGAAACGTGGCGATATCGATTTGGAAATTAGGGTAGCGGAGCTTACATCTATAATGAAAAACAATAGGATTAATTTCCCGGACCCGGGAAACAATTTTTGGTTGGGTTGCTCTAGGAAAATCTAAGATTTCGAACAAAACTAATGTCGCTTCTTTACCGATGTATTGTACAAAAATTTGGGAGTCGCTAAATAATAATATTAAGCGGCTATGGGAGGTCGAAAGCGTACCTAATATCAAAACGGTATCGCCAGAAACTGAATTTTGTGAAAACCTATACAAGAAAACCCATTTTAAAGATTTTTCTAGTCGATACGTTGTCGCTTTGCCTTTTCGATTAAAGAACCCAATTTTTGGTAAGTCGAAAAATTTAGCTTTACGCAGAGTTTATTCTTTGGAAAATAGATTATATCATAACCCAGCTTTGCTCGACTTGTATAGAAATTTTATGAGGGAATATATCGAGGCTGGTTATATATCGATCGTTAGTCGGACCGATGAGCCTGGTCGGTACTACATTGCTCATCATTGTGTCATACGGGAACAATCCGTGTCAACCAAGCTCCGCGTGGTATTCGATTCGTCGATGAATTCCTCCAATGGGGTCTCATTGAACTCTACACTTTATGCTGGTCCAAAACTTCATTCCGATATTTCCAACATTTTGCTTAAATTCCGTTTGCATAAATTCGTTTTGATAGCAGACATTAAGAAGATGTTTTTGCAAATACGGGTTCGCAATGAGGCTAAAAGGTTTCAACATATTTTATGGAGATTTGATCGTGAAAAGCCGGTACAAGAGTATAGATTGGATACTTTGGTTTTTGGAGTTAGTAGTTCACCCTATTTCCCCTGTTGTCTGATATTTACGTTGACAATATTCTGACAGGTTTTCACGATCTGGAAGTTGGTAAACGTATAAAATTTGAGCTCTCAGAACTTCTAAAGAGAGGTGGTTTTGAGTTACGAAAATGGGCTACTAATTGTGCGGAGGTTTTATCGGACACCCCTCTTGAACATCAGAACAGTCGAACCGCTATGCCTCAAACTTCTTGGGTTGCAGTGGCAACCAGCTTTTTGATAGTTTTACTTTTAAAATTGCTAATATTTCGAGTACCGAGTGTACCAAAAGAGGGATTTTGTCAAATTTGTTCTCTAAATGTTTAATTCATGGAGCTTGGGCCTTGATTGGAACCAGGAACCTCCCCCCGAAATTCCCGCGAAATGGAGAAAATTTCAGTGTGAGTTGGATCTGTTATCTTCTCTAAAAATTCCTAGGCACATGCATGTGTTTCAAGCTGAATGTGAAATGCATGGATTTTGTGATGCTAGCCAAAGCGGATATGGGTGTGTGGAGAGCATAAAATTTATTTCGTTGCTGGAAAATCGAAAGTCGCACCTCTGAAGAGAATAACCGTGCCCCGTTTGGAACTATGTGCTGCGGTTTTGTTGTCAAATTTAGTAGAGTTTATTCGTGATGCTCTGAATAAAATTATAATTAAAAAATTTTTCGCGTGGTCAGATTCAAAAGTAACTCTGGCGTGGATTAAATTCTCTGCTCTTAGACGGCAAACATTCGTTAGTAATCGAGTAAGTCATATCCAAGATAAGATGTTTCCTGATAGTTGGCGTTATATTCCTACTAACGGCAACCCCGCAGATTGTGCCAGTAGAGGACTTATTCCTTCACAATTCTTAGAACACCCTACTTGGTTTCATGGGCCTCGGTTTCTTCGTTACTCTTCTGATCATTGGCCTCGCGATTTTTCGACCGAAATTCCCTCTGAATGCTTAGAAGAGGAGAGCAAGTCTATGACGACGTTAATTTCCATATCGGACCCGTACGGTGTGTTTAATGGATATTCTTCATTGGAAAAATGTTAACGATCATTGCATATTGTGTAAAATTTTGCAATAATATTCGTACAAAACGCCAAAATCCGGTTGCCGCTTGTTCAGCAGCTCTTTGCGAAGAAGATATAAACAATGCACTTTTGTGTCTTGTTTGGCAAGTACAACGCGAGGTTTTCTCTGATGCTATATATAAGCTAGAAAAAACAAAAGATAAGGTTTTAAGAAAATTGAATCCATTTATGGATGATCAAGGTTTCTTGAGGGTCGGCGGTCGCTTGATAAATTCCAAATCTTTGCCACACGACAGGAAATTTCCTTTGTTACTCCCTCAAAAACATCGTCTTACTGAACTGATTACATTTACATAGGAAATATTTGCATCCGGGTTTGCAAAGATTGCATTTTTTCATTCTACAACAGTTCTGGATACTGTCAGCGAAAAATGCTATTCGTAGGTGTTTGTCTCGTTGTTTAAGATGCTTTCGAGTGGATCCCAAGCCTGTTGTACCATACATGACCGATTTACCGGCAGGACGTGTATCACAGGCCAAGCCATTTCAGGAAGTAGGGGTGGACTTTGCAGGTCCCTTTTCTGTAACGCCTTTAAAGGGCAGAGGGATAAAGGCCCAGAAGGCATATGTTTGTATTTTTGTTTGTTTTGCCGTTAAGGCCATACATTTAGAACTGGTTTCCAGTTTGTGTACTGACGCTTTCGTTTGTGCTTTAAAGCGCTTTATCGCACGTAGAGGACGTTGTAATATTGTCCGCTCCGATTGTGGTACCAATTTTATTGGTGCCAATAGACAACTGATGGAGCTCATGAAAAACGCCGTTGAGACGGAAAAAATCAAATGGTACTTTAATCCACCATCAGCACCTAATTTCGGAGGGTTATGGGAAGCTGGTGTGCGTAGCATGAAGTATCACCTGGTTCGGTCAATAGGGCTAAACAAATTAACTTTCGAGGAAATGTATACAACGCTATGTTGCATCAAATCTGTTCTAAACTCAAGACCTTTACACCCTTTGAGTAGTGACCCTAATGACATAAGTGCTTTGACTAAAGGGCATTTTTTAACTCTGGAGCCTCTTACTTCTTTACCTTCTAAGGATTGTACGAACGCTAATATTAATAGTTTACAACGTTTCGAATTGGTGCAACGATTGCATAGCGAATTCTGGAAGCGGTGGCATCACCATTATTTGAACACGCTTCAGCAGCGTTCGAAATGAACAAAAAATACCCCTTATTAAACATAGGAAATATGGTAGTCATAAAAGAAGATGGTTACTTGCCCGAGTAACACAGGTTCATCCTGGAACTGACGGTATTTGCCGAGTAGCGACAGTTAGAACTAGAAACGGTTTTTTGCAAAGGCGCATATCCAAACGATGTCGTTTACCTTATTTAGAATAAATTTAGAAGAAAATATTTTTTTTCTCATTTTAGTTTTGTTTTCTTTTCTTTCATTGATTACACTAGAATGTTATTTTGTTAAAATACACTTGGTGATTTTAAGGTCGGCGGTATGTTCGATCTTATATTGGTAGAGGAATATTTTTCGGGTAAATTGTGAGTATCAATTAGTTTTTTTTATTATTATAAATTTGCCTAACCTCTAGCCTGGTTCAGCCAGCCTAGTTGTGCGCGTTTCTTTTTTTTTGAAGAGACAATCGACAAAAAGGAACGAGAACGGCAGCTAGTCAGTTGCGATTAAACAAGCAAGGTAGGATTTACTTTCCGCGTCGATACACCCATAATAAGTTCTATCCAAATACATACCCAAAAATTTTGTTCAATCGCCTAGAACAAGATCACAATTGTCTAAATTTAACATCTGTCGTGGTTCCATTCGTCATTGATTTGTTGTAGACATGACAGTCTTGGTCTTATTTTTAACTAGCTTATTATGATATAAGCATACAAAACATTTTGACCGCTTGAACATGAAATTATGATCCAAAATCTACCATAATTTAACATCATATATACCAAAAAGTGATAACCTTTCACAAACAATGGATGCTAACCATGATATTGATGAAATTTTTAGAAACCATATAGTTTTGATTCTGTCCAGTTTTAATAACGATTTAGCACAAATTTAGATATTTTTTCAATTCTGTGCATTTCGGATACTTTTTTAAATTCAATCTTTTATTGGAATGCATCCACATTACGGTACTTTTATTTGCGGTTGAACGAATCACTGAATTCGCCTAGATATTAAGGATAAAATACCGCCCAAATGCCGCCGCCTATGAACAATTTTTCCACCGTGTAAGGTCAACTACCGACTGTTGTGCAACAAAACATTGACGGTGTCCGTTTAAGACAGATAAGTAACATCTGAAATGCAGAAATTACTGGGCATTGGTGTCATTTAAATCGAATATGAACAATATTACCCGTTAAACCAGAATTGAATATATAGTTGTTCCTTTTTTAAGATAATACCAAAATAAAATTGCTAAAATACGGTTACTTGAATCTACTTCTTTTTACATAATTTGTTGAATGAAGAGAGAAGCTGGCACAGGAACTGAAATTTCATAAATCTGACAATCAATGTAACGCAGCGGAGGAAAACCCAGAAGAGTTAAATTTTGACCCAACTATTAATATGGACACGCAGTATGTTTTTATGATTTGACAATGCTAGTCACTTATTTGTGAAAAGACTAGGGTTAATGTATCAAAACATCACCACTAGATAAATGCCATGAAGGAGCCGCCATTTTTAATAACTTAAAAACAAGGGATGCCGACTGGCAACACATTGAATAGCTTACTTTCAAAAAATAATTTCTGATGTGAAAAACTCTTTCGAATATCCATTGCTTTGATCTGCCCGGTTTGGTATTTTTGTAAAAGATAAACGGAAAAATTTTGTTGAAACTAGTTTTATAACTATGTTTAACTAAGAGACCGACAAAACAAAAATTCTAGATGAATGTCGATCTGAGTTTTACCACGCATATTGTTATTTACTGGCCCACTCCAATGAATCTTGGTAAGGAGAGTATTCCAGTCCTATTGGATTCTCTTTCGCTATGCTTAAGTTTTAATTTTACCTCGAATGCTTTACTTATCACAACTATAGTATATTATACAACCAGTGCGGTAAGCGGCATTTGACTCACGAGTTTATTTGGCACGAGCGGAGCGAGTGTTTAATTAACGAGTGACTTGAAACGTTTACCGAACGTGTTGCGTGCTATATTTTTTCTACGAGCGTTAGTTTATGGGTGCATTTTCATAAAACAACACAAATACATTCACTGAAATGACCGTCAGAATTGACAAATTTCAAAATCCAAACCCGTGCGGTAAAATCCCGCAAATGTCCGAAGTAGCTCGGATCCGTGGAAAACGAAATTGACGTGGTAAAGTGACGCCTCCCGCACGCTAGATCGATGTGTAATTAGGTATTTTACAGCCGTGAGTAGAAAAACAGTTTACTACGGTGTTTAAAATGAAAACGGTCAGTCAGATGAGAATCGGAGTGAAAGGTTCAGATAATTCAAGCGGATTTACGCTCTTACGGGAAAAACATTGAAAAATATTTTTGTATATTTTCTGTAATAAATACTCCAGATCAATGAGCTGTCATATATTTTGCAGCCAACTACACCAACGAAGAAAAGGAAGTGCAGCAATTGGTAGCATCGATGGGTGTCTGGAAAACCATACTCCAAAGCGGATTGCCGGCGTTCGTAATCATGTTCATAGGTTCTTGGAGCGATAGGTGGGGCAAGAGAAAACCGTGCATGCTATTCCCAATCTTCGGCGAACTGATGACCGTTTTAGGTCTGATGGTGTGCACCTACTTCTATTACGAACTTCCCATGGAGGTTGCTGGTTTTATCGAGGGACTATTTCCAGCAATGACAGGTGGTTGGTTCACAATGTTCATGGGAGTGTTTAGTTATATTGCTGACGTTACGACAGTCGACAACAGGACGCTAAGGATCGGTATAGTGAATGTGTTTTGTTCGTTGGGAATACCTATTGGATTGGCGCTTAGCGGTATCCTGTACAAAAAAATCGGGTTCTACGGGGTGTTTTCGATATCGGCTTGCATGTACATCGTCGCTTTGTATTACGGGTTTACGAAAGTGAAGGAACATAAGCGCGTCGATACCCCCAGCGTGGGTAGTTCGCCTTGCGCATTTCTCGCAGACTTTTTCGACGTGCGCCACATCTTGGAAACGTTCAAGGTAGCCTTTAAAGAAGGCCCCAATAATCGAAAGGTCAAGGTCATGTTGCTGATGTTGGTGGTAATGGTCGTCATTGGTCCAATGCATGGTAAGTGCTCGTTTTTTGATATTGTAAAAATATAGTAGACAAAAAAGGGAGAAATTACGAAAATTGTCAAAATAAATAAGAACTAAAAGTTCCGATTTTCACGAAATTATATATTATGACATGACAAATCAAATATTTGATAAAGACACGGTGCTGTCGAAACAATTGTCATGTCATAATATATAATTTCGTGAAAATCTGAACTTTTAGTTCTTATTTATTTTGATAAATGGATTTTCATCAAGTAAAAGCCACCTCAGTTCAATTTACGAAAATTGTATTTAAAAATTCTAGGAATGTAAAATATTTTTGTCTTTTTAAAGAAATGAAAATCATCTGTTTAAAAACTACTCTGCTGAGGCAAAATTGTGGGGTAATATCATGGTAAAGTTTATTTATTCTACGGTAATATCAAACAACTACTAGGACGAGTTAAAACTCCTGATGGGCCAACTCAATAAATTTGGTTAGTTATTATTATAATTATTTTTTAAGCGGATACTTTTGCTATGAGAATTCTTGAAAATAATCATCGTAACTCAGCTGTAACAATAATAATAATTTTGAATTGGTAAGATTTGTCAATACCTAACTTTTCCTGCATTTTATTGCGAAAATCCCTGATATTACTATTGCAAAATTTTAGGTCTTTTTAAATTGTTTCAAATCTCAATATTCGATAAAATAGTATGGTCAGAGTTAAAACAAAAATTCCCAATAAACTTGTCTGTTTCAGAAAAAGTAAATTGAAAATGAAAATTGAATTGAACGTTTTTAGGTAAAAAAATTCATGTTGAAGTGTTGAAAAATATCCATCTGAGGAATATTTTTTCATCTTAATTTGTTTTATGAATTTCTTTTGACAATAAAGCAATTGACTGGTATTTTGAAATACCTGTATTATTTATAAATATTTACACATTAAATATTTCCTATTATACCCAGAGGCAACTTTATTATTTTTGAATTATCGAATAATGTAAGGAACCCTGCTGCATTGAAATTTGAAGAAAAAACTTGTTCGGACAGTGCTTTTAGTTTACAAAATGGTAAGTTCAAGAGATTGTTGTCCGGCCTTGCTAATACATTTCGTAACGCAATAATTAACAATGAAGAGTATCCTATCCCAGTAGACCTTCAGTTAATTGCCAATTTTGTTACCGGATGGTATTTTTTAAAGAAAATCATCGTAAGAACTTACAAATGCCGAAAAATTAAAACCTAAACTAATACTTCAATTATTTTTTTTGTATCGCCTAACAAGTAGAGTTTCTGGAAATGTCATTAATCAGAACCATTAAAGCCAAATAGTAATGTGGACTTGATTTAAACAATGGCAAATAAACGATTGTTCATGCTTCTCGAAAATCGAAATACCACGATAAATTTAATACTCGATTTACGACCACAATAACCTTTGACGCATGTTTCACTGGCCAAGATACCGACAGGTGCAAAATTATCATAGATAAATTGTCAACAGCTATAAATACTAAATTAATAAACGCAAATAAATCATACTAGCTTGGTTAGCGAAAGGATCTTCCCGAACTTCAAGATATTATAGTTAAGTTGTGGTTATAAATTCTTCACACTTTATATACCCAGTTTTGGGGTTCAGCTTAAGTTAAGCTTAAGTAGTTTTGTTTAATTTATCAAAATACATTATACATATTTTCATAATCAGTCATATCGAATCATTTAGCAGAAAGCTTTTGGTTTTAGGGAAAGTTAAATAATAATTACCTTTGATGTTAAAAGAACAGGTCATAATGAATTAAGGGATGAACTTACAGGTCATCTGACTAAAAAAGTGCAAGCGGAATTATATGTGCTGCAACTTCATTAAAAACTTGAATTTGTTTACGTAATATATTTTATTGCTTTTTATGAATACATATTACTAGTGAAGATTTTAACATTAATTAATTTTGTGATTTGAACTAGAGACTGACGACACCTATATAGTGTTTTCATTAAGAATATATTATATATAACCCTGCACACACAGAAATTCTAATTCAAATCATATAGCATTTACGTTTAGCAAGGAAAGTAGTCTCATGTGTCAAAAGCTCCTTACTTCCTACTTTCATATCTAATGACAAAGTGGACACCTTGAGCACAAAACTGCTATATAGAAATATACGTGAATTTTCTATTAAGGTACATACAATTACTAATAAATTCTCCATGTTTTCTCTATCTTTTCTTGTCACTACTTTTTTTTCTTAAAGGAAATTGCTTTCTTTGACAAACTTTATCATACATGATTACTTTAAACCAAACATAAATTATTTGCTTTCGTCAGAGTGAAGTTATATTCTCGAAGGTATCAATAAAAATCGATTTTTTTGTAGGCGAAATGAACGTGTCGTATCTTTTTACGAGGTATCGTTTCAACTGGGACGAAGTAGACTACAGCATATTCTCGACCTACAGCATGATTACTAATTTAATAGGTAAGTAAACCACAATTACCACATAAAATTATTTGTTGTAATTTTCGGCAATGTTTTTTGTCGCATCTATCAAAAAAAAATATAGTCAACGGTTCAGCGCTTTCCAACGTGACAAAATTTTCCATCGGCTTAATTATTACTTCGATAACATTTTTTAAAAATTATGTAAATTAAATGGAATGATCACCGGAGTTTAGCCTTGCACGGCAAGTTTGTTCCAATTATTTTGCGTGTAAAAAACCATTGCTTGATGAATTCAAGAACACTTTTTTCGGTTTTGGATAATCGATAATTAAAAAAACTACAAATACAATGTTTATTTTTATTGCAGGGACGTCCGTATCCGTGGGCATATTCAGCCACGTATTGAAAATCGACGATGCTATTATCGGCATATACTCTTCCATGAGCAAAATTTTGTCAAGTTTTGTATATGGCTTCGCTAAGACGTCCATGGTTTTTTATTTAGGTAAGAATTCGCTTTTCAAACGTATCATTCTGCAGAAAACGTTAATAGCTGCTATTTACAAATTCGACATTCTCAATTTGGCTGTTGAAACGATACTGAAATATTGATCCTTTATAATTATTTTTTAGGACTATAATGCAATCTGTAGCTCTCCATATAATTTGTTATATTAACATGTAGATATTAAAAAAAATTAAGTGTATTATGTTTCATATTCATATACCAATATAGTAATAACATTTATTAACATATTAAGTATTTTCATTATTATTTTGCGTAAAAAAAAAACATTTTCTAGCAAAATTTACGTTTACTTAAAAGAACGTTAATTAATGAAGGTTGTAGACAATTTTATTAATGAAAATCATTCTTTCGAACATGCTGATATTTTTTAAAAAAAGCCTAGTCGAGTCCTTAATTTTTTAGCAAAACTTGCTATTCGCTTCCTAACTAAACCTACGATTTTCTTTTCCTACGTTGCAATTGTTCTCGTAGACAATTACGGGTAATGAATATGTGTAAATTGAATTATTCCGTTTTGCTGGATAGTAATAAATTATGACAATCCGTTTCGAAGAGAAATTTGCATCATCATCATTCTCCCAGATTCTGCATGATCACCCCTTATTGGAAATGCCATTTCGTCACGAGCTTATCTACATAATGGAAGAAAAAAAATCGATTTGCACTTTCTAAATAAAGATTGAAGTGTCTTAGGAATGTTTATCTAATGTCTGCCACTTAAGTACTTATATTTATATCTTCCTTCTCGGTTCTTACTGTAACCTAAGAATTCATAATTCATATTTGTGTGGCTGTCACAAATGAAATAATTCAAAATAGTTTATGTTAATATCAATGTCGCAATCTGAGATAGCGGTGCTACCATATATTGAGTTTCGTTTAAACCAAGCAGATATTCAAGACTTCATGAACCGCCGTTTTGTTCTTAACATTAAAAATATATATATATTTGTGCCAGTAGAAGGAATTCGATATCAATAACTATAAAGTTTACTTTTCTTGCTCGAAAATAAACAACGACCGCGCCATAAATACACCTGGATTTGCAAGTCATGACCAAACACTTCTACTTATTTTTTTTAGTTAACCCAAAATGTGTTTGCATTTTTGATTAGAATATCCGCCGTGTTTTTTTTTCGTGAACACTTTTGTATGCTTTGTTTTGTCCTGTATTTTGCACAATCTAGCGATTAGCCGGGCGATTATCCCGCAAATTTGTGACCTTGCGTTTTTGCGGAAGTCGCGGCAAATTGGAAATTATCCAGCTTACATAATTCGCTTTTGTTGAATTGCGTACGTCATGCTTCACATTCCTTCGTGAATTTTTAGATAGGCTTTAAACGATATCGTGGTTGTTAAAAATTCCTGTTGTTGATAAGGAGTAGATGGAACGCGTATTTCCAGTAAAGCGTAGATAAGGCGGTATAATACATGTAGGTCTATCGAAAACGTAACGACCAATATAACCGCCCGGAAACATATTTGATGAATAATAACTATAATAATAATAAAAATACACGAACACGAAATATATGAACTGTTTAAAACTTATTAATAATTCTTTTGAAAACTTACATTAATATATCATTAGGTAAATAGAATGCCCCAACATTAAAGTGTTGGAACCCTTAAGATTTCTCAAGAATAAATTCCAACAATTAACTGAGAAGTTTGCTATGTTTATATGGAAAGTTTAACACTGCATTTATAAATAATTTAGGGCATTCTTCGCCAGTGTGGAACTGTCAGCAAATGAAAACAGGTTTGCAATAGTTAATTATTTTTTTTTTATGAAAAGTTAGTAAAAGCAGTTTCTAAGTACATAAAACTTATTACCAATAAAAATGTGTCTTTTAAAGTGATCCAAAAACTATTTTTTCATTTATTCTATAAAAGTTTTCTACCAAATTACTACCTCTTTTGAGATTGTAAGATTGAATTTGCTCAAAAACCCTATGTATTATTCACAATTTTCCCATTTAAGGATTTAACACGAATTCATTTAACACATTAAAGATGCTAGGCAAAATTGGGAATACCATATTAGATCCTTATAGAATATTATGCAATCTGTATAAAAAGCAAACCTCGTAAACCCATCTCGAATACAATGACGATTGCTTCACAACGAATTGCGAAATTCTGCTAGACTATTATTTTCTAGTCATCATTGAAGAGTATATGTTTGCTTTTCAGGTGCGATTGTGGAGATCCTAAATGGTACCTCTTTCATTGCAATGAGATCAATTGCTTCAAAATTGGTTCCTTCAGATGAATTAGGTAAATACGCAGTCTATTTTCCTTTATATAATTACAAAATGAAGTAACCTAATTGTTCTGAATTATAGGAAAACTGAATTCATTATTTGGGGCTTGTGAAGCATTGATGCCACTACTGTACGGACCGATGTACAGTGCCACTTATTCAGCAACAATTAAATCCATGCCAGGAGCGTTTTTCATTCTGGGAGGAATATTGACAATTCCCGCTGTTATTATATTTGGGTAATTCACTTTTTGGCTAATATTTAGTTTGACAATATTTTATATTGAGGAGAAATTAAGCTTTAGATATAATCAACGTTAGTAACTTTTTTGATTCATAAAATGCTATAATGCTATAATGTAGCTTCAAATAAAAGTTTTTTTACTTAGTGATTTAGAGATTACCCCTAGAATATGAAATTAAAAAAAAATAACCACCGATTCTGCCCATAGTCTGGTCCCAAAATATGGTCCTATATGTCATTTCTGAAAAAAATATTTTTGTAGATGCTGCAATTGTCCTGGATATTTTCAAATTTTCAACTCTCTAATACTTAGAAATCGCAGATAATCATAAAATGATAAAAAAATATAATTCAAATAGGAAGGAATATATAAGGTGGCTCATTAGAGACTAGGTGCTGTATTACAGCGGATGGTCCCAGAAGTTATTAAGTAAATCGGCCAATAGAAAATTCTTGATATTATTGTGGAGTTTCTGAAAAGGCTATACGGGGGCGTAATTGCCATCTTAATTTTAATAACCCGGTTTCAGCGGTTTCGACGGGGGTACTATTTAAAAGCGCTAACTCAAAGAAAAATAGCGGGGCGTTCGAACGCTTTCAAAAATAAATGGCGATAATTCCAGAAAGGTTTGACATTTTAGTACACTTGTAGTCGTGAACGGCTTTTTCTAGGCTATAATTGTGCTATGAAAATACTACGACTTGACGATTTCTGATGTAAACGTAAAGAAAGACTATCGAAAAAAAAATGCAACTACATTTTTTTTATCATTACAGAGTCAAAGAAGAACCCATTGAAAACTACGTCTTTACAATATCTTTATACTAACCTAAAATATGAATGAAATAAAAATTAGAACTTAAAACAAAACTTAAATTTTCGGAACCATTTCCACTTTAAGCGTTTTAATTTTCCATTTATCACATTAATTTGATAGTTAAAATCGAAAAACATTTTTTTTATGTCGCTTCGTGATTGCTCTTGTTACAAAACCTTCCAAGTAAATTACCCAAAACTGACATAATTACTTCATTTTGGTATTCCTGAAATTGTAGTTAATCCTCACAGATGTTTTCACTTTACATTTTCCAAAGTAAAGCAGTTGCTGATTTTTAAAAGAATGACTAAAGTTTTGTTTACTTCCCTGGATAAGTCTTTATGTCGAAGTTCTATTTATGATCATAAAGTATAAATTAAAATAAATAAGAACTAAAAGTTCAGATTTTCACGAAATTATATATTTTGACATGACAATTGTTTCGACAACACCGTGTCTTTATCAAATTTGATAAAGACACGGTGTTGTCGAAACAATTGTCATGTCGAAATATATAATTTCGTGAAAATCTGAACTTTTAGTTCTTATTTATTTTGATAAATGGATTTTCATCAAGTAAAAGCCTTCTCAGTTCAAAGTATAAATTTCTACCCTTAAGTGGTTCTTTAAGGAATACTCTGAAACTGGTTTATGTCTGCTTTACATTCCATGTCATATCTTGATATTACAAAATAAAGTAACTAATCCAAAAATTTGTACCTAATATATTATGCAGTCAGTTTATAAAAGTGTTCATATTAAATTTTTTGTACGACATTAATATTTGCAATAATCATTGCCAATCAGAACGGATATGTTTATCGAGTGTGCCAAACATCAAAATTCCATCAGTGTCTTAAATCTACCGAAAACATCAAATCGCTCCCAACCCGTGACTAAAGTACCGTAAACCTCGAAATGGCTCCACAAATGATGTTTTAAAGTGGGACTTTGCGCACTCCTGATTATTGAATACTTGAATATTGGAGACTAGAGATTATAGAAAATATATTTTAAAACGCAATATATAAATTTGCTCGTATTACGTTGTTTTGGAGCCAGCATTAAATACCTATAAATACCAATGTGAAACGAAATAAATTTTCAATTACTTTAACGTTTATAGGTGGTTCTACATTCAGCACAAAAAAGACGCAAGGCTTGCGTCAACCAGCAAAGACGCAGAAGTTGGAGTCCAATTAAATGAGCACGTCATACCGGAATCGGCGATACTTACCGTAGCTCCCAAAGAAGCTCAGATCGGTAGCCCAATTTTGAACGGGGTCAGAAAATCTCCTGGGGCGCAACCGGAAACGACGGGCGGTGTGGAAAATCTGGCTTTTGAAAACGAAAAGTGACTCGTTTTCCCCAAAATGTGATTTGTAATTTTATTGTGATAACAAGAGTTTTTTATATTTATGTTGAAGATTGCGATGAATTGCACGAACTTATTTTGTTTTGAACACTTGCAGAAAAACAAAATAAAAGGTTTCGATTTAGTTTTTATTTTAATTTCATTTTGAAACCAACGGCTACATAGACGTGCACCCCCGGAGGTTGCTCCTGCTTTTTTGGGTTTATAACATGGACGGAAAAAATTTCATCTAAAATATTTCCAGTAAAACAGCAAGTAGGTATCAAAGTAATACGCTGCATATATTTTATGATTTACAAACTCCGACTGGAATCTCGCAAATATTTCGCCGAAATTCGCCCATTTACTACAGATTCTAGTTAGAGTTTAACAAACTAATACCTGCATATTATTACATTTTTAGAATTAAATTAGTCAGATAATGAAGCTTTGAGCAGGTCGTACCACTCTGCAAAGTTTTTATCTAGATAATTATTTATAAAAAAACTAAATTAGTAACTGCTGATTAGTACGAGCTAGCAATATAACACTTCATCATATCGCTTCATCGGTCATTATTACAACTTGCGTCAAGCCGCGACGGAGGATCTGTATATCGGCCTCCATAAGTTCTATCACTCTTACCTTAACATGATCTAATTTTTAAAAAATATTTTCGTTTCCTGCCACAGAAGTTTGATTAGGCAATCAAGTCAAGTACACTTGCACAGCGGTCTTGTTTTACATGCGCTTTAAAAACCACAAAAACTATTGTGTTAGCTTTATATATCTCAATACTTAGTAGTTAAAGAAAAGATTTTTTGTTTAAATTTGCATAAGAAAGGGTTTTTCACCAGCTATTAAAGCCGCCAGCAATAGCAAGCAGAGAACACATTAGGACTTAATATTACTCATGAAGACAACAATGCTACCACAAAAGGATACAAAAAATTGTTTGAAGTAGGCACCTACTATTAAGTTTCCTATATATTTTTGTTGTATGTATGTTTTAAATTTTTAATGACACTGTTCATCGGAGAAACGCTAGAAAAACATTTATAGTTGTTATTTATATTATGTTAACGGCACATATATATTTTATGCATTAAAAAGAATAATGTAAGGTCAAAACGGTTTTCGCCTGGTTGAACAAGTAGAAGTTAAGAAACTCGTTAAGAGATGGCAACACAAAGCAGAATAAATAAAAATTTCCGGTCCGAAATAATATTGGTTCGTTAATTAAACGTAATTTGACTTAATTCAGTAAACAGTAAGAAAAATATGGTTGTTTTCATGTTTCAAATTTTGCGATGCTTGGTATTGGCTGTATCAATAATGTATGGATGAAATCAAGAACGTTTAAGATCTCAAATTTAAAGCATTCTGTCGAAGACTTTTTTAGTTTACCTCACTTAGTGGTCGCAGATACGGTGGTTTAAAAGGAAATGTCATTCCCAAAATGAAATAAGATGGCACACTTAAAAAGCGTTTTGCTAGTTCTTGTTACTCCTGCTCCTACAAACATTCAATGTTTGAAAAGAGGCTGAACCCATAGTAAAGGTGCGGGACGATTTTTGTGATGCTGTAACATATTCTCATTTCGCTAAATGCAAAAATAATATATCCATTTCACATACTAAATTAAGAAATTATTCAGATGGTAAAATAAACTCTTATTAGGCATTCTGGGTCTGCTTCAAAAATTGGGCACTCAGTTCAAGAAAATTGACAATCACAAAAGTTTATCTTACAATGTATGTAGGTATGCATGTATCTCAAAATTGGGATGGTCTCATTAAAATAATATTCCAGAAATGAACCGCTAAGAATGTTGTAAAATCCTTATTTGTGACAAAAAGAATATAAATGCGATCTTTGAACCGCAGCAGCCGATATATGTGTGTAATATCAGCAGAGGTGCTGTATCACAGAGGAACAGATCGTGCTTCATGTAGACACATATCTGTATGAAATGTGATGGTGAACGTAACAAGTAAAATTAACGGTGAAGCATTTTAGATCTCACTTCCAGTTTGTTAGTGTTGTTCTGGAAATTAAAGGCAATCGTTAAACCCTAGAAAACTGTACCAAACAGTTGCGACTTCATTCTAAGGCACTCAAATAAGTTCTGCGCAATGCATGTAGATTTTGTAAAATTAAAAGTAAATCTCTAACGTAACGTGGGAGCATTAAAATGTATTTTCTGATTAGTCAATTGAATGTATGCATTCTAAAATAACTTAGTTATGCAACATATATTTTGTGTTCGAAGAAAAGGGTCCATTGATATTGGATACAATCGAAGCTTTCCCTTATTGCGTTAACATTTTGTGTCACGAAAGAACAGTTAGGAGTAGGCGACAAACTCTTATTTCGACGCATTTTACCGATTAAAATTTGAACAATTTTTTTCGACGTCATGGAGTAATAAGTGAATCATTCCATTGGCATTTCGACAGACAAATTCCTGTACTTAATTGCTCAAATGTCAGCATTTCTTGATATGTTACTTCGGTTACTATCGCGTCCGCTTATGTCCAAGGAGAACATCGAATAACACTTTTTACTAAGTAACTTACCTTCTCTGGGTATTGTTAATGATTTAACGAGTTAATTAAGTTTTGTTCTAATTGCTCCGATAAACAAGAAAATCACTTTTGAGAGGATTCTCAAGGAAAATGGAATAAGGAATTAATTATTGCACAAAAATTCGATTTCGGATGTCACAACGTTTCTACTACTACATTATCAATTTTAGTTCAGGCGTAGATCGTTGGCGCTGGCATCGCAATCTCAAATGTAATCTTTGTATGTCTGTCGCACGTAGTGACTTCCCTTTGAATCTCCGTGATAAACCATACGTTACGTCTTCGCAATATATTTAGTTATAATTCCTTACGATTTTCCATGTGATTGTAAACTGGCAACGTAGCATTTTTTACATTGTTCAAAGCCGTTATTTTAGACGAATAATATACTGAAAACAATTCATTTATTCCATATTTGAGGGTAACGAATGAAATTCTGTAACTTCCTTAAAAAATGAATAGAGTAATAAATAAATGCTTTCTCTGGGTTTGGATAAAAATAAGAAAATATTCAAAAAGATATGATCCAGGATCCATTTATAGTTTGTAGTTATTTATTGAAGTACACGTTATTTGATTGACCATTTAATTATTTTTATGCCTTTAATAATAATAATAAAGGACTTTTATTGTAAAAAATAAAAAGATATATAATTTTCCAAATTAATATACTCTACAACAGGAGAGATTCAATTTCTCTACCTTAAAGACGAATGTTTTTTCTTCCACTTAACTAAACTAAACATAAGATAAAATGTAAGAAGTCTGAAATATCGTAAAATTCGCGAGATCAATTAAATAGCCAAATGCTGACAAAGGCTATATTTATTTGTATTGGCACATTTTGAGTTCTTAATTTATGCTAAAGTTTAATTTGAAATATATTACCGCTCTTTTATTAAAAAATTAAATAATTCTTTTTAAAGGTAAACTCATTTTTTGATTGTAGTATTAGGGCAGGAAATTTAATAACGGGTTTTTCATAATTTGATAAGAGAAGGATCTTTTGAATAATGTCTACGTACCCTGGGAACGACGATTTACGCATGTTATGTATGCATCTATGATAAAAAAAAGTTTATGCTCCAAATTTGATTGAATTTGGATTTTTTATAATTTTGAAGAATAAGGTGATAGAGTGTAAATATCAGGTGAGATGCTATGTTCTAATACCATATATTAGTGCTTTTTACAAAACTTCTGGATTACTCCTGCATCGGTTTTTGCTTAGTGGAAATTGCTAACGTTTTGCCAATCATCCTGTTGGCTTCTTCAGAGCTTGACTGAAACTGGCTCGTATTTTACTCTGTACCTGCTTATATATTGTTTTGGGGGGGCGGCGTTAATGAGGGGTATAAACAGCGTCTCGGATGACTGATTCCCAAATTGGTGACAGGTAGAGACCTGAATATAATCCAGACGTTTTAATGAAGTTTTTTGTAATTGGCGTAATTTCTGAAAACTTTTTAATAATATACACAGGTTTCAAATGAATTTTTGGATGGAAGGATGGAACTGTTATAAAATAATAAGAAAAAATGTTAGACTGGACTGTTAGGCCCCTAAAAATTACTTAAACACCTATTAGCCTATAAATCCATGAGGCGAAAATAATTAAAAACATTTTCAACTTGAAATTTTTCTATTCGTTTTGAAAAGCTAAAATTGTCTTCCGATAACGTAATCAAATGAATATTGATATTTTTGATCAGATTATTAAAAAAAAAGTTTGTATTTAGATTCTAAAAATTGTAAAATTCCATTTCGCAACGTTTATCTTGACATCAAACTTTTTATTTAGCTTACTAGCGGCTGCTATTTGATAATACAGTAAATTCTTTTTACGTAAGAAAAAACGAAATGAAGTTTTAAAATAAAGTTTTAAAAAATTGGATGAACCATGCGACATGTTTAAGTTTAAGTGCGGACACGTACGAGTGGCATGGACGCGCGGCCTCTGAAGATGCCAAGTGATATTTTGGCGAAACGTCAGGCGAATGATCCTACTCCTGGGTCAAACAACGAACGGATGAAACCCGGATTACCACCAATACACATAGTTCCATCCATGAAGGACTAAAACAAAACATATATATATATATATATATATATATATATATATATATATATATATATATATATATATATATATATATATATATATATATAGAGAGAGAGAGAGAGAGAGAGAGAGAGAGAGAGAGAGAGAGAGAGAGAGAGACCAAATAGTTTCAGAAATGGTTATTAATAAATTATTTCTAAAATGTATTTGTAAATTGGTACATCTGTTTGAAGGCATCTAACTAAATTTATTTTATGTGAATTTTTTTTTGAAAAAGTCGCAGGAGGTAAAAAAGTTTCTAAATAAAAAATAAAATTAAAAATATTTTTTTCTAATGTCATTGCTTAAGTTTCTCCTTAAATTTAGTTAAGAGAAATGATAAACATAAACTAATTTAATCCTCTCTACTCATTAAAAAAATACAAAAAGCATGCAGAAAGTGTGTTTTTAAAATAGTAATAATTTAATGTTCTATTTTCGTTTTTAAGAAACAAA